GAGCATGGCGAATAGAATCCATCTGTGCACAGCCAGTTTGTTAATTTCAGGAGGCTCTGGGCTGGACGAAAATAGAAGGAAGAGTGAAGATGAGGAATCCTTAATGGCTTCCAGCCGGGAGGATGTGGATGCCTGCGAACAGGAATGGAATTCTGTGGCTTTCCCCTCAGCCTTGTAAATGAGCTTCCTATTTAGGGTGGATTTTCTTCACACTAGAGTTCCCCATTCTCTCTTCCATGTTCTTTTTTTCCTCTTTGTTCCTCCGTGAGTGATTCTCCCTCCCTGGTTAGTCTGCGGGCTTTGCCCATCCCCAGTTTCTCCCCGGGCTCTCAGCAGCAATAGGAGGGCTCCTCATTTTAAAATGACAGCTGTCTTCCTCCCACCTAATCTAGGGAAAGGAAACCCAGGTTTCCTGAGGACCTATTAAATGCTGGCCCTCCCATAGGTACCATTTCCTTAGCTCCTCCCAGCCACCCTGCCAAGTCCTCCATTTTTACTGATGGAGGACAAAAAGTAGGGAATCAAACCCATGGCTGTCTGACTCCAAGTCTTTTTCCATCCTACTTGTGGTTAAGCAAGATTTGGAATTGTGGAACATATTTTAAAGCAGCACTCAGAATGTAGGTGTTGGCACACATTCTTATATAATTTGTTTTATAATTATTTCCATAATGAAGTCAGCTAGATAGCTTCTGAAAAGCTTGTCGATTATGATCTCCAAAGTACACATTCATAATAAAGTGACCCTTTGTGTATAGACAACATTTATCTGGAAGGCTTCTGCAAGCTGGACTTCTTTTCCCTGGTAGATTTGGAGAGCTCCAGCCTTCCTGAAAGATGCCCCCCTGACTTTCCCTAGCCAAATGCTACCTGTTCCCCCTTTGTCATTCCCACAGTTAAAGTGATGGTATGTTATCACTTTTATCCTTAATAGTATTACATTTACTTGTGTCCTGTCTCTACTGCTACATTGTAAACCCCTCAAGAGCAGGAAGAGTGTTTAATCAATGAATAACAAAAGTAATGTATTTTTGCTCCCTTAGTGCTTTGAGCAGTGAGGTTTTTTTTGAATGAACAAATAATTGTGTTCATGTCAAGATGATCTGGAAAGAGAAAAATGAGATGGTCGAGTTAAAGACTGGTTATTTTATACTATAGAATTGTGTCATTGCCCATTTCAAGATGCAGTGGGCCTAGAAGTTATCCAAGTACAACCCCTCCCTAGATAGATTAGCAAATGGAGGACTGAATCAATTAAGGTCTTATAGTTACTTACTTAGAGGCTCCAAGGTGGCACTTACATCTCAAAAATGGTCCAAACTAAACCCTTTATTATTGGCTTCATGTGCCATAGATGCAAAAATCAAAGTCTCAGCATTGCCAGGACCAGTGAAAATATACTTAGAGCTACGTTGCCAATTTCAATTCTCAACTTCCGCCTCTTACGGTTGCCAAAGAATTATGATTTTAGAGAACGTTTTTTTCTTTCTAGTTTAATATATTGGATTTCAATAGCAGCTCCAATTACTGTATTGTCTGGGGCTACCTAGGAACTTAGATCATCATGTGGTAATAGTGACTAAGTGGGAGGACTCTGGACTCTGGCACCTGACCTCCTAGGTCCACATTTCAGCTTCTCACCTTATTGGCTGTGAGACCTTGGGCAAGTTACTAAACTTCTGGGCCTCTGTTTTCTCATCTGTCAGTTGAGATTAGGTAACAATAGTAACTACCTCATAGAATTGTTAAGATAAACTCATTCATTCATGTTTAGGGCTTTTCTGGAACCTTGGTCCATAAATGTTAGTTAGCTGTTATGATGATGATGGTGGAATACCAAATAGCTCGAGCTACTTGTATCCAATTCTTATTTTCCTTTTATTGGTGGGGGGAATGTTGACTGAAATTCTCCCTGAGATTTCGTAGTAAAGACAAGCCTGGAGATAAAATTTCTGTGGGATCTGGAAGGTGTGGATATGTAAACACTGGCTGTAAGTTCCTTCCAGTTAGAGGAAATAGTATGAGTAAAGTCTGATGAAGAGAACCCTGGGGTTTTCTCCCAGGAACTGTAATTCCATTTCACTGCAGTGGAAGGCGCTCCCTGGGAGGAGTGGGAATAGAGATTTGTGTTTAGCCCCTGGAGGCTCCTGAGATGGCAGGCCAAGTTTGGATTGAGGGCCTTTGAGTACCCTTTGAGTACCCTTTGGCAGCAAGGTAGAGCGAGGGAAGATTAGAGGGGGTGGGATGGAGGCAAGGTGACAGTTGCAAGGCTGTTGAATTAGCATGAAGAGGAGGAGGGTGTGGCATTGATAACAGTTTTGGAATTGATGCAGGCAGGTGGGTTTCACGTATAGATAAATGGCACTAACAGAAACAGGGAACCCGGGAGTAGGGGTGGGTTTGCAATAGAAGAAGATGATTTCAAGTTTCTTGAAGAACAGTTAGAGGGACAGAAAGGACAACCCGGGAGAACTGCCCCTTTTGGTAGAAATTCAGAACTGGAATGCAGAGTTCAGTACTTAGAAAATTCTGAGAGTCGTTGCTAGGTGTGTGATAGCGGTAAAGACATGAGACTATCTGAGATTCCCTGAGATCACGCCTGTAGACTCAGGAGCCCCGCACACATTCTTTGGATAGAGACATCTAAGGCATGAAGCCATAAGCGTGGTGCCGAGAAGTGCTGGGGTGTAGGAGTTCACTTCAGCTGCTGTGTGTGAGATGGAGCTCCCCTCACACATCCTGCAGTGCTTTCAGTTTTAAGCCTGTTCATGAACCAGAGGAGGAGCTTCCTATTTCCCCTTTCCCCATCACTCACCAATGGGCAATAGCCCAGTAAAGGATTCCTTTACTGCTGGGCAGAGAAATAGGCTCAGATTATGGAATTTTTAAATGGCATTATAAAATTGACATATTTTATATGACAAAGAAGAGAGAGACTCTGAAGACATAAACTTAAATTAAAAAAAATTTTTTCAAGACCAAACTGTTTTATAACCCTTCATTTTGTATGTGGTTTTCAGTGGGTATAAAAATACTCGGTGGGTATGTGGGTGGTTTCTCATGTTTTGGAAATGGTGAGAATATGAGATGCTGAGCATTGGGTTCTGGGATGAGAGCTATAATTACTAACTCTGATTCTTTCCCCGGATTGGCTCCCGGGTGGATATCTGAACCTAAAAACCCAACAAGAGTCCAGAATCCAGAGCAATAAACCACTCTCCTCCCCCCACCGCGCCCCCCCCAGAAATTGAATTATTGTGGCAAAGAGGAGAGGGAGGGCGGGACGATGGTTCTAACTTGCCTCGTCCCCTTTTCGTGCTGCTCGCTGACTGTTCAAGGCCGTGGTGCATCAGGAAAGAGGCTGGTGTGACGGCTTCTCCTCCCTGTCTGCACAGCAGCCCCTGTGCAGCTGGGATGGAAAGAGTTCTAAATATAACCCAGACTCCTTTCAAATCTTCCTCCCCCAGTCTTGGCGGATGTGGTAAACACCCTAAAAATACCTGCTGTCTGAACCTTTGAGGTCTTTGGAGAGGAAGGGGCAGGTGGTAGCCCTGGAGCCACGGGGTGCTGTCAGGAGGCCTTGTCAGGCTACCAGGGCTGTTCCCCAAGCTGTTTGGTGCACTGTTGGCCAGTCCATCCTGCTCAAGGATAAGAGCCCACTCTTGAGTCTCATAGTCACTGCTGGCAGGTTTCAAGGAGACTATTCATAGACTAGACATCTGTTCTCTGTCCCGTTGACCTCAAACCTGCAGCTGCCACCGTGGTATTCAGGCAGTGTTGTGTCTTCCAGTCTTGTTTCACAGAATCAGAATTGTAGAGCTAGCGAGGCCCTCAGGTATTACATTGTTCATAAAACATTCCATTAAAATCTCCACATTTATGGAGTTACATTTCTCTGCCTCCATAGTGACTTAGGGATTTGGAAATGCAGTCTCAGTCTTTGATTATTAAAAGACCTTACTGTCCTCATTGTGTAACACACATAGGAGGATAACGAAAACCAGTCTTTTTAAAAATAGTGACCAGATGATCCTGTGCACGGCATTTTCTTCTTTATTAAAAAACGGAAATTTGAGGCTCATTTTCTCACCCAAAATTCAGTATTTCGAGTACAAAGCTCATTGGCAACATAGCCAGACATCAGGAGTCTCATTTTCAGGCAGGCTTTCAAGATCTAGTTTCTGGAATCCCATACCATAACTGTGGTGTTTAATTGAAAGACCATAGCTGACCTCTGCTTTCCTGGGAAAGAAAGGTTTCCCAGATGATCTCCAGTACCCACGGAATGCATTCAAAGTTGTGGAGGCAGTCAGCACCATCTAATGAAACAGCATAAATCATCCAGCTTTGAAATGTATGATAACTACCTTAGTCCCAGTCTCCTTCAGGAGACTCTTGAGAAGGTGCGGGGAGTGCAGAACCTGTGTTAGGAGCTGTGTGAGGGAGAGCAAAGGAGCCCCAAGAAGCCCGTCCAGATGATGGAGAAGGAACCAAGTCCTGTGCCATGCCATTTTCAGTATGTTCATCATGGTAGTTACAGAATTTCCATAATTGTGACGGGTATGCATCCTCCCCTGTGAGCTTCTCAGAGCTCCTTCCTGTATCTGGAAGAGTGTCATTTATTTTTTGCCACTGGGCTGAAAGTAAATTGAAGGGTTTTCTTGAGTGCTTGAAGCTGTCAAAATGGTTGAAGTTTTTAACGTCACTTAATGCATGTCTGAATCAGCCACTGCTAGAAGCTTATTTCCCCTGGACCGGTGCACCTGTAACCGGACCTGAGCTGCCTGGGAGGGGGATTGGTGTACTTAGGGACTCAGTGTGATTTTGTGGAAAGAGCGTAGCTCTGGAGTTGGTAGCTTCAGTTGTGTAGAAGCCAGGGACGGGGTGGGCACAGAGGGGTCGCCTTTTTCCATGCGTGTCAAGAAGAGAGGATGGGAGGGGGAGGGGTACCCAGGTGGCACTGTCATGGGTTATCAAATGTTTCCTTTCTGAAATTCCAGAATGAAGAGCTTCGAAACTTGTCTCTTTCCGGCCATGTTGGATTTGACAGTCTCCCCGACCAGCTGGTCAACAAGTCGACTTCTCAAGGATTCTGTTTCAACATCCTGTGTGTTGGTAAGTGACTCATCCCTTGCTGCTGAGCAAGGAATCTGACTCTTAGGTGTTGGCAGGTGACTGTCAGAGGGGCACGTTTCAGGAAATAAGGGGAATGATATTTTTTTTACTGTTTCATTATCAGTAGAGCAGGGCAGTGATACCCACTCATGTATGTCACACAAAGATCGAGACTTGTATTTAGGTAGAACGCTCTGTAGGCTTTGTGACGTTACTCAAAATGTTATTTTCATTTGTGTCACATTGTCAAGCAGTGATCAGTTTAATATTGCTATTGAACCACTTATTTAAATTTTTTTGGGGGGGCGGGGCTTAGACTCTAGCTAGACTATAGGAAGTTGAAAGAAGGACCTGAGATGCACATACATAGGAAGATCATTCAAAAGCATTTTAAGAATTTGTTTCCAGGGTCTTTGACTGTGGTGCAGTAGGAATCTCCACTGGAGTCTTTTTAACGATATGCTGTCTACAGTAAGTAAAATCTGAAACTACTTTAACCACTTCGATAAACTTACAATAGTTAAAATTTTTGCTTTTAGAGCAAAAGACAATTTAAAATTCTATTTTATATTTTTGAAATACCTTTTCTGCCTGAATTAATAAATTAACCTTTTGTCCTTAAATTGGAATCTGAAACTGACCTCAGTTTATTCCTGGTAGATAAATGGAAAAGGCCAAAGAGATACAACTTACATATCTGCATTCTCAGGATGTGTTATTCGTATCCTTCAGATGTTATGCATTGACCTAAGCCTCTGGCCTTGGTATTTTTCTTCTTCTTTAGCCATATCTTTCTTAAACTAAGACAAGGAAGGTAGGAAAGGAGGTGGAGAAAAAGAGGAACATAGAAATAGAAATCTCCTGTTGGTTTGAAGCAGATGTGTCCCTGGAACAGATGACGGCCTTTCCTTCACCCTCCCTGTCACTCTTGATGAAGGACCAGGCTAAACAGCAGTGAAGTGGCTCGGGCTGCATTGTTTTGTTGCCATTGTCCTCTGGGCACAGACTTCAAGACAAATTAAAAGGAATTCTGTATGTATGCGATATGTGTTCTCTGTGTATCCTCCCCCGACGTTTGGCAGAATGTCCTGACTTCTCTTGTCTTAAGTAAAATGAAGTGACTTTAGAAAAGAAAGATGTGCATTCAATGTAAGTTAGTTGTTGGGGGAGGGCCAGGTATTTGTCTTTCTTTTTGTTTTTTTTTTTGTTTTTTTTTTTTGCGATATGCGGGCCTCTCACTGTTGTGGCCTTTCCCGTTGCGGAGCACAGGCTCCGGACGCGCAGGCTCAGCGGCCATGGCTCACGGGCCCAGCTGCTCCGCGGCATGTGGGATCTTCCCGGACCGGGGCACGAACCCGCGACCCCTGCATTGGCAAGCGGACTCTCAACCACTGCGCCACTAGGGAAGCCCCAGGTATTTTCCTTTCTGAAAATTCTTCGAGAGGAGCATATTGAACGTGGCCCCTGCACTGGGCATTCGCTAGTAGAAAGCCGCCGCTGACTTGCACACCAGATGGCTTGCTGTCTGGCATTATGTCTCAAGCACTGGAGAGAGAATGACTGGAGAGAAACGTGACCAGAGCCCGTCAGCTCTCCTGCTTTTCCCTTTTCCCCACTTGAAGCCCATTAAAATTCAGCAGGGGACCCCCCTGGAATGACAGCTCTCAGAGTGGCATAAATGAGTCGTCTTTTCTCTTCTGCTAAATGCTCACTGCAGAGCGGGACAATTCTTCATTAGCATAGCAATTTGTTGGCAATTTGTTGATTTTCTATTGAAAAATGTGCTAAATTGTGGGCCAGTTACTATTCTGGCTTCTCTTCTCTGTCTCCCCCAGCCCTGTCTTCAAAATCAGTTTCAAGAATCTATGTGAGAGCTGTGGCCCAGCCCCTGCAAGTAGGATTAAAGCCTTCCAGTGGGCCTGGGCTGGAAGGACCTGGTTTGACCGGGTGTGTGGTGTGCAAGGGGGAGTGTTGGCTGGTTGGCTGACCCTTGTGTTACTAGCACAATTATGGTGCTAGTTGGAATTCCTCACAAGCCACCTCCTTGCTGTGCTGTTGGATTTGTAAAGCAGCTGCTATTCTGACTCTCCTGGGTGGGTGATAATTCCTATGATTCTTAGGTTTTTATTCTTGTTCCATTCTTAACCAGGTTGAAAATCAGTTTTTCAAGTTATTTACAATAATGCATATTTATGTTAAAAAATTATAAAATGTCCCCCCTCCTCTCCTGCCCTCATTTCCATTCCACAGAGAAAACACTGTGGAATCCTAGGAACTTTCTAAACTTTTCTGTACTTGGAAATTATTTTCGGAGGCTGAAAACAACACTAATTATCTCACCTTTTTGTAGAAGTCCCACGTGTGTCTCACCAGGTTAAAATCGAGGCATCCGCAAGGCTATGCTCCTTTCTGGAACCTCAAGGGGAGAAGACATTTCCTTGTGTTTTCCATCTGCTGGAGGCTGCCCACATTCCTTGACTCTTGGACCCTTTCCTCTATTCTCAAAGCCAGCAATGTTGTATCTCTCTCTGACTGTTCTTGAGTTAGGAAATTTTCCACAGAGAATTGCAGAAATCTAGTTTAAACTCAGTTAAGGCTCTTCCTCAACCTCCAGACACACTAAAAAGGTAATACATTGAATTGTGTAATTAAGAACAGCTGGCTCTAGGGATGCAGAGTGTTTGCAGGGCTCTGTTTCTGGTTTTCGAGCCTGTTTGCTGCTGCGTGGCTTCATGGTCGGGCTTCTTCTTCAAGGAGGTGGTACAGCCTCCAGCAGTGTTGCCAGCTGAGCAACCCCAGAGGAGAGGGAGGCAATTCCTGACAAGGCCTTCTCAACAGTCATAGGATCTCTGATCAACCAGGCTGGGGTCATCTGCCCGCCCAGGGTGGGAGATGGGGATCAATCACCCCGAAACATACAAAGGTCCCATAGGAGAGAAGACATGGGCAGAAAGGAGAAAGGCCATGGGAGAGACACACACTGGACAGATATAAACAGGTCTCTCATGACTACATAAGTACTTTTTTGTTTTGGTGTAACGTAAATGAGATCATGCCCTTCTATTCTTTTGCATTGTCTCCTTTCACTCTACAGTACGTCCTGCCTATCCTTCCATGCCCGTATATCTAGCAGGTTCTTTTCCATAGCACTTTGGAGCTCTTCCGTTGGAGCCAACATTAGCCCTTTGGGAGATAGGGGTGTCAGCCTTAAGGTAAACGTACATATCCTCAGAGGGTAGGACACATCAGATCAGCTGTATACAGATGTTTACAGCAAAACATCTGTATAAGGAAACAACTTTCGCTGTCAATTAATGCTCTGTTTTTTTTTTTTAAAGAAGATGTTGGGGGTAGGAGTTTATTAATTAGTTTATTTTTGCTGTGTTGGGTCTTCGTTTCCGTGTGAGGGCTTTCTCTAGTTGTGGCAAGCGGGGGCCACTCTTCATCGCGGTGCGAGGGCCTCTCACTGTCGCGGCCTCTCCCATTGCGGAGCACAGGCTTCAGACGTGCAGGCTCAGTAGTTGTGGCTCATGGGGCTAGTTGCTGCGTGGCATGTGGGATCCTCCCAGACCAGGGCTCGAACCCGTGTCCCCTGCATTAGCAGCAGGCAGAGTCTCAACCACTGCGCCACCAGGGAAGCCCTGCTCTATCTATTTTTAAAGTAAGAGTCTATGAAAAGCATTCTAGTTGGTCAAAATATTTTGACAGCCACTTAGAGGAGTTGGTGTCGTATTTAACTCAAGAGTATCCATGGTGCTTGTCATCCTACTGTGCACTTCTGTTTTTTATGCGCATGCCTGGTGTTTATAGCATCATTATTTCCATGTGAAAAGTATGGAAGGGAATTGAGGATTTATTTTAAAAAAGAGTTATGATCCCAGTAAGGAAGCTGATGATGTTTTTCAAAAAGGCCTTAGAATTGTAATTTTGTTTTGTGGCAAGATCCTACAGTTTGCAAACAGAGAGGAAACAAACCGGGACAGAAATGAACCCTGGCGTGCACCTAGTTTAGTTTTAGAGGCCCTGAATTAAATGCTTTTAGAACCTATCTCTCTCGAGTCCTGGATAGAAATGTAATAAAGAGTGGGAGCGTAGTGTTCACTTAACTGGGAAGAGAATTCTTGATGCTGAATCGGGTACCAGACACCCAAGATCATAGTTCCCCTACTCTCCATCTTGCCTACAACACAGCCGTTCACCCACAAAATTGCACTTTGTTTTAAATAAAGCCTTTCTTTCTTACCCACGCTGTATTTCTCCAAAGAATCTAAATTAGTATTCAGCCTTTCTTCACAATTTTAAATTTATACATCTTTGTCATTCACTTTCCAAAATGACACCAGCTCTGTGAGAAACTCCAGCATTGATCCAGCTGAATGTGGTTCTTTGTGCACCTACACAGATGGATAAAATACTGTGACATCCCTGCTTTTGAAGAGGAACCAGTTCAACAGCAGGGTCAAAGTAAATGAATAACATTTTTTTTTTTGCGGTACGCGGGCCTCTCGCTGCTGTGGCCTCTCCCGTTGCGGAGCACAGGCTCCAGACACGCAGGCTCAGCGGCCATGGCTCCCGGGCCCAGCCGCTCCGCGGCATGTGGGATCTTCCCGGACCGGGGCACGAACCCGTGTCCCCTGCATCAGCAGGCGGACTCTCAACTGCTGCGCCACCAGGGAAGCCCTAATAGCATATTTTGAAAATAGAATTAAAAAAAAAATAATTCCACTGTATTGTTGTGAGGGGAAGGCAGAAGAGGAATAGAAAACAGACAAGTTCAAGATCATTTTAGCCGAGGCTATAGTGTCAGCATAAGCTGTAGAATTTTACAATCAGATCTTAAACATTTTTATTCCATCTTGCTTTTCCAGGAAAGGCTCTGAGGTGGTTTACAGGGTGAAATGAATAAAAGATAAAATTAACCACAGAAAATAAAGTGAAGCCAAGGTTAGAGTCAGAACTCAAAGCCATCAGACCTGCCTATAGCAGTTGATTCTCTCAGGAACGCATGTGCCTCTCCGCCAGTGGTCAGAGCATGGAGGGACCCATTCATTCAACAGATATTTGTTAAAGACATATTATGTGCCAAAGACAAGTTAAAAGTTTAATGATGACAGACTTACAGTAGCTATAAAGTAAAAACAAAATAGTTGCTCCAGATGAAACACAGTTCACCGGGAAAAATCTCTCCCATGGATTTTCAGAAAAAAACATACGGTGGCCGTCCCTCCATTTAAGCCTGGGTTCCTGAGCATCCCCCACTCAGTGCCACTGAGCCAGGCAACGCCGAGGGTCACGTGCTGGTCTTCCAAGGGGACTTGAAAGACCAGCATGCTTTGGCTAATACCACCAGCTAATACCGCGGCTGGTGGTATTAGCTAAAGCATGTCCCACCAGAGGCGATTCTATGAGGAGTTAAAACAACACAACGTAGCTCTCTGATTATCTGGCTTCATCCAAGAATAAAATCCAGAATGTTTAGAGGAGGCAGTCAGACCTTCATGCACAGCTATTTGAGTAATTATGATAATAATTATCCAAGGAGCCAGTCTTGGCAGTCAGAGTCAAAATGCTGAATCATAGATCAACTATTTACTCAGTTTACAATTAATTACCTTCTAATTCATAATACATTCCTCTGTGTGTTGTTTTGTTTTTGTTTTGTTTTTTTCTTTTTTAATAACGTCCAGCTTAGAGCTTGCGGTTTAAACAGAATGGAAGGGGCAAGCCTGCTTCCCACGGTGCGATGGGTGTTACGCTCACCAGCACTGGCAGACACGGGAGAAACAGAAGCCCCAGATAGCGCTTCAGGAGTAAATCTCTAATTATTCTAACAACTGTTCAGGCAGATGAATTTATAACAGAATAAGCAACAAACTCTGAAAAATCTACCGAAGTGGCAAATGTCAATATAAATGATCACCATGATCGTTTTTCTTTTCAGTTAACTGAAAAGAAATGCCTGAAACTGAATGCCTGCTCTGTGCCAGGGATTCTGAAATGCTTCAGAGTTGCTGCCAGTCATTAATTGTCTCAAAATATTGTAGTTGTTGGGTTTAAATTGGAACCTATGCCAGGTAGGCTTTTGGTTACTCAAGTCAAAAGAAGCCTTTGTGCTCTTGTGTGTCCTCAAAAATATAGAAAATGCCTTCTTTTCTGATTGACCTCAACAACAAACGCATTGAAAAGCTCTCCTAGTTCTAGAATTCCTTTTATTCCAAAAGCTGTCCTTTCTTAGTGAACTGCTTGTGGTGAATTGCACTGCTGCTAGAGTAGCTGTGTCTAATTAGGGCTCTTCAAAGCACAGAGCATAGGAATGGAAAGCAAAGCACTCTGAAATTTAGAGGAACAGTGGTTTTTCCAACCCATGGATTAACCCTGTGCTGTAAGTAGGCCCTGGAATGCTAATTGTTCGTAATGTCCACCTTAATGCAAATAATAATCAAAATTACCTTGCCTTTGAAAACAAAACAGAACATGGTGTTCTTGATACACATATGCTTAACTAATTCTCAACTTAGTAAAATGTGGTGGTAATTTCAGTCCTGTCCAGGTAACCTAGAATCCTTGCCATGTAAATGGAAGTCTTTACTGCTGTTTTTACGGGAAGAGATGAAAGTTAAGTGGGTCACTTTCCACTGATAGAACCGTTACCTTATAGGGGAAATTTTATAAATAGTTCTGCTGTTGTGCCTTTTTCCCTGTTCTGAAAATAGGTAAATTCTGAAAAGAAGTTTGCTCTATTGAGAAAGTACTCAATGATTGGAGTACCTTCAGTGTAGAATTGCCTTGCAGATTCTGTGTATCTTACAAGTGAGAACCCTGTTTTGTTTCTGTATCCATTACTTTGTAACTTTGTTTTGTTCCAAGTTATTTTGTTAAGTCCCCAATGGTCGATATCAGCTTGGTGAGCATTAGGGAACAGAGACTACTTTAGGTTACTTTTATTGATGGGTCTTTTTTTATAAGAATATGAAGGAAAGTAAGGAAGACAGGAGACAGTCTCAAGTGCTACACAGCTAGACTTCATGGAGACCTGGAATGACATTCAGGATATTACAGAAGTTGAAGAAGTGTCAGTTGCTGTTTTTCTTCACCGTTTTATCCCCAGCACCTATGCTTGTCACATAGTAAATACTCAAGTATTATTAATGAATCAATTTCAGGTACTAGTGTCTACCGTATCTATCTGCTCTCTTTCTCCTGTATGTCCAGCTAATGGTCCGTCAGCAACATGTCTTCTATTTATTGGCAGCCTTTGCTGCCTCATGGCATCTGATTTTTCGCTTCTCTCAGCATATCTTTTCTTTTTCATGCCATCGTGCTGTGTGCAGGTTCAAACTCCCAAAGAGAGAAGTTTGATTGGATAGACAAGTCACTGTCCAGTATAGAGCATTCTCACAGCACTGGCGTCCATGGGTGCCTTTGGACAGGGGGCTAGCCCTGGGCCAGTTATCTGTGGTCATTAGCAAGGTCCATGTTGTAAACTATGGTCTTGCTTGTGAGGGGAATGTGGTGATGGCAGACATTTAAAATATCATTCCCATAATAGTAAATCAGAGTCTGGCTAAGTATTCAGTCATGTTCCAGGTCAGATTCTAAGCTATGGGAGATCAGGCCAGTTCGTTGTTGTATTCCCAGAACTTGGTACTAAGCTGGAAAGGAGACTGGCTGAAAGAAGACTGATGAAGGAGGAAATTCTTTGATCTTAGATGTATCGGGTCCAACGGGTAAGGCTAAAGAGTTAGGCAAATGTCCTTGAACAACTTTTATCCTACAAGTGAATCCCGGTAGTCAGGGGCAAACCACATAAGGCTTCTAATTAGAGAAAGCTCAATTACAGGAAGATTCCATTCTACTTCATGTTTGTACTGTGTTGGAAAGCAATGAGTAATACAGAACTTCTAACTAGCAGAGGTATTTTGTCAGTGGGAAAGTTGCCCTAAGGCTATAAATCTCAGCGCTGGTTTTCCCCCCATGGAATTGTCACCATCCTAAAAGTCATTATGGCAATTTTTCAGAAGAGAGGTACTGTTCTAGGACCATCATGGGGTTGGGATTTGTTGAAAGGGCCGCAGTATATTGGTATGTTTAAATTGAGCTGAAAATCTAATTGGGAAATTTTCCAGAGTTTTTTCTTTAAAGGCATTCCTATAGATAATGTTTCTCGATATCTACCATCACACACTCGACCACCACCCCTGACAAGGGTGGGTTCTTTCTCACTGCCAACTAGTTTTGACTCAAGAATTAGTATATAGAGAGAAAATTTTTCTTGGTCTTATTTTGAAGACCAAGCTAAAGTTCTCCATGGCTCCACATTTGGGTCTTACCATTTGATTGGTGTAGTGGTGCTAGGTACCTGCCACTCTCCTTTGCATATATTAGGGCCTCAGTAAGACTTAGCTGACTTGAATTATCAATGTGAATTAATAAGGCCATTGTTGCAGGTTATTTAACATCATTCAGTTTCATTGTCACAAACATCCGCTTGAAACTGGGAAATCTAACAAGTGCTTGCCATCTGCTGAATAGGGAGAGAAAATGGAGATAATGGAGGATTCTCACAGATTCATAACCATACCTAAAAAATATTAGGCAGTCAGTTTTCTCTGTAACAGTAAAGTCAGGATGCTGTGTTGGTTGAGTGTAGGTGTTAGAACCACACAAACTTGGGTTAGAAGCCTGGCTCTGCCACTTAACAGTATGACTTTAGACAAGTTACTTAGACCTTATCTAAGCCTTAATGCCCCATCTGTAAAAGGAGGGAGGAAAGAGCAGTACTTATTCCATGGGGTTTAAATGAGATAGTGCATTGGAAGCTCTTACCACAGGGCCTGGTACAAGGTAAGCGCTCAGCGGCTGTAGCTGGGTTTGTTATGATTGCTATTGTTTGTCAAGTGTGTTGTTTTGAAAAATGTAATGCTTTTCCACAACGGTAGATGGTATCAAGTAATTCAATACAAATGAATCAGCCTTTTGAATTTTCTTTGTAACAGAAACTCAGCAATATAGAATTTTTTTTAAAGCAAAAATGTTACATGCCAACATTTAGGGAAGGAGGAACTACGGTTTATGTCTTTGAAATGACCACAGACTGACCACAGGCAAGCTTATAGGTTCTAATTCTCTATGCAGAGGTAAAGAAAAGCATCTTGATCTGTAAGTTCAAGATCTTTTCTACTGAACGGTTTTGGAAATTCATTAAAGCGTTTCTCGGGAAGTATTCCATAGATCACACATGGAAAGAACTATCTTTTTGTGGTGGGATTTTTGGTGATACTGACTTTTCAAAAAATTTTACTGTCATGATGATGAAAAGCTCCTGATGATGTGAACTGGTGCCTCAGAGGCACTGACACATTCTTTGATTTCTCCCTTGTGGTCATGCAGGCGAGACGGGCATTGGCAAATCCACGTTAATGGACACTTTATTCAACACCAAATTTGAAAGTGACCCAGCTACTCACAATGAACCAGGTGTCCGGTTAAAAGCCAGAAGTTATGAGCTTCAGGAAAGCAATGTACGGCTGAAGTTAACCATCGTTGACACTGTGGGATTTGGAGACCAGATAAATAAGGATGACAGGTACATCTTGGGATTTTGTGGGGATGTAAATGCGTGAGAAGGTAACAGGATCCATCCCGGATAAATGCAAAGACTAAATGTTCGCTAGTTATGGGGCTTGGTCTCCTGTCACCTAAAAGATAAGACATTCTTGTCCTCTGAGAAATTTTCTTAGAATGTTCTTGAGGTCAGAATCAGCTAGTGTAATTGATTCCAGCTAGGGTAAGGAGAAAAGGGATTTGTTAGAAGGCATAAGCTACCTTATGGCATTTTTCCAGGAGAGTCATGGAACCAGGCTTGGGCGCTTTCCCACCTGGAACAGCAGTCTAGAGAAACACGTGCAGTTAGTGGAACCCCTGCCGCAAACGACCTTATATAGTTTGGTACCTGTGACAGTGGGGAGAGGTCTCTAGAACCTTTACCCAGTCTGTCTCAGAGAGCCAAATGCCTTTACCATCGCTTGCAAGAAGAACCCCTTTCCCTGTGTGGGCCTCTGCCTTGTGTGGCTCCCCTCCTGCTTCCAGGTCTTGTATGGCTGCATCTGCTTGGTAGAAAGTAGACCAGATCCAGAACACTAGCTGCAAGAGAGTCTGGGAAGTGTGGTGTCTCGTTTTTGTTGTTGTTGCTGTTTTAACTCTGCCAGAAATAAAAAGGGGGGGGGCATTAAAAAGTAAAAGGAGTTTGGAATGAGCGTCTGCCACACTCTCCTAGTCTCTGAGGCAGATTGGGATATTTGACTGAATCCCCAGATTCCTACAGATCTGAATGAAAACTTGGAGTCACCGTGATTTTCCCAAGAAGCCAAAGCCCAGGATTTAGTAGACCTGGGTTGTGATCTGGATTCTGCCCATGAGCAGCTATGGGACCTTGGCAATTTATCTCACTGTGAGGGAAATGACCTGGATACTCTCAGGCCTCTTCCAGTGGGATCTTCTTAGGTGGGGTCTAAGGAAGGGCACTGGGAAAGGCTAAGCCTGGAGGAGGGGTGTGATAATAATACACAGCTGATACAGTGTTATCAGCTCCTAAAACCCCAAAGTGAAGAAAGCATGTTTGTGAAAGATCGGTTGGAAGAATTGTCGCTGACTTCCAGCCAGCGCAGGATCTTAATATCGATGCTAGTGCCGTGGCCTGAGCACTGTGTGTCCTTTGTGCATTGTCTGGGTCTTCCTGTGGGCTGCTCGTACTTGGGTGGCCCGCTGGGCGCAGAATGGCCACATTGAGTCTGAATATTGAGTGTGGTTTCAGTGGAGCCTAGTGAGGAATTCAGATCGCTCTCTATCCAGCAAGGGTTTGTTAAGCTAATTTGATAATATATATAACAAACTTCTTTGTCAGTGTAGAAGAAGGACATGTTTAAGCTGCTTAAGAAATAAAATGTCTTTTCAGAATTTTGGTCCTGTAGTTTGTATGTCGACAGAAGCTGTTAGCTATGTCAGTCTCACGTATTCATTCACTAAAACTGGTTTACATAGACTTGATGATCTAGTTATAAAAGAATATAGTGAGGTTTTACTTTTTTTCTTTTTTTTTTTTTGAGGTGAAGCAAACAGTCATTTTGTTGACTCGAGTTCTTTCATTTACATCTTATCTCAGGCTATTTTGCTTTAGTAGTTTAGCACCCATCAGTTAGTAGAGAAGGCTGTCCGCATCCACAGGTTTTACTTTTATAAAACACACATAGTCATTTCATAAAGCCAAGCAAGTTTGACCCTTTTCTCTGAGTTGCTGTGTGCCCTTATTTGAGGGAAGCTGTTAAGCCTTAAACCTTCTTGGTGTTAATCTCAAGATCACCCATCCTATTCACTAATCTTGACTTTAAATGCCTTATGATTGTTTTATTTTACTTTTTTTTAACTTTTTTTTTTTTAATTTTTATTTTGTATTTTTAAATTTATTTTTGGCTGCTTTGAGTCTTTGTTGCTGCACGTGGGCTTTCTCTAGTTGCGGTGAGCGGGGGCTACTGTTCGTTGCGGTGCGCGGGCTTCTCATTGCGGTGGCTTCTCTTGTTGCGGAGCATGGGCTGTAGGTGCGCAGGCTTCAGTAGTTGTGGCACATGGGCTCAGTAGTTCTGGCTCATGAGCTCTAGGGTGCAGGCTCAGTAGTTACGGCGCATGGGCTTAGTTGCTCTGCGGCATGTGGGATCTTCCCGGACCAGGGCTCAAACCCATGTCCCCTGCATTGGCAGGCGGATTCTTTTTTTTCAACATCTTTATTGGAGTATAATTGCTTTACAATGGTGTGTTAGTTTCTGCTTTATAACAAAGTGAATCAGCTGTACATATACATATATCCCCATATCTCTTCCCTCCCACGTCTCCCCCCTGCCCTCCCCATCCCACCCCTCAAGGTGGTCACAGAGCACCGAGCTGATCTCCCTGTGCTATGTGGCTGCTTCCCACTAGCTATCTACCCTACACTTGGCAGTGTACTCATGTCCATACCACTCTCTCACTTTGGCCCAGCTTACCCTTCCCCCTCTCCTTGTCCTCAAGTCCATTCTCTGCGTCTGCCCCTTTATTCTTGTCCTGCCCCTAGGTTCTTCAGAACCATTTTTTTTTTTTTTTTTTAGATTCCATATATATGTGTTCGCATACGGTATTTGTTTTTCTCTTTCTGACTTACTTCACTCTGTATGAGAGACTCTAGGTCCATCCACCTCACTACAAATTTCGTTTCTTTTTATGGCTGGGTAATATTCCATTGTATATCTGTGGCAGGCGGATTCTTAACCACTGTGCCACCAGGGAAGTCCGTTATGATTGTTTTAAATACTTAAGTTCATTCTCAAAAAACGTTTGAGAAAGTTAAAATTAAACTGTCCCAGGCCCAAAGATAATTCCAGAAGGAGGCTTCCAGAGACATTTTTGTGCAGTGACAGCTTAATGGGAATAAGACACCAAATCATTAAGTTACATTATGTTTGCTTAGGGCTCAGAAACTTCATGAGTACCAGGTTTTTTTGTTTTTTTGTTTGTTTGCTTCCAAACTGTGTATGTTGTATGTGTGTGTTTTGTAAAGAGGAATTTGAACCATTTTATCGAGGGCTGTGTATTGTCTAGATATATTTTAACTATCTGTGATAGAAGTATGAGCACATAGTAATGGCAGAGAAATATTTAACTCATGCTCTAGCTGAGCAAGGAGCTCTATTTTATGTATAGGGCAATTTAAATGCTCTTCAGTAAGCGTTGGCCTGTAATACAGGAGCAGTTGTTAGACATAGTAAGAAAGATTTCATTTTGCATCTGTCAAAATGGACTATCTGTACATTGTGTTGGAGTGGAGGAAAGCTAAGCACAGCTGAGCAGTTGCTCTTCATTTATGACCTCAATGCTAGGGAATGTTGGAGAGGTTCTTGCCGGAAGGCTGTCTGCAATGCCCACTGAAACAGATGAAGAGAAAACCCTGATGACAGGCAAAAGTGCACGCTGGTCCTCGTGTGGTCACGGAGCCCCCGCCCGAGCAAGGCGGGTCTCCATCTCTGACCTGCGCAGGTCTCTCCCTGGGGTTGGGGAGTGCCATGCTTGTGCACTCCCTGATGGGCAGACATCAGCTGCACCTTCTCAGGGTGTATTCCTGCAGGAATGAGAACCGTCTTCCTGCATTTTGCTGCTCAGTTTCCATGAGCTGTTCTAGCTCTGAGTCATCGCCTCAGCACTGCCATTGCATTTTTACTTCTCCCCTAAATGGGGACGTTCCCTCAGTCTGGTGGGTTTTTCACTCACCAGCCCTGAACAGCAGGTGGCCAGTGCAACTCCGATCCACACGTTTGCAGCTGGAGGCCTCTTTAAGAAATTATCTGACTCATTTGGGTCAAATAATAGTTTCCAAGGAGACTTAGAAGAGAGGAAGTGTGATATTAACCTAACCTACATACCAAGTATTTTTTTTTCTTCTGAAATTTCTTGACAGCTGTTGCATAACCTCTTTAAGTGGCATTTAGAACTCTGTGCCCCAGAATGATTGTTGACACTGTTGACTATAAACCCAAATGTCTGTTAAAAAAAAAGTCATTTGGATAGGGTCTGCTTCCTTCAAAAAATTGGAAGTGGGATTTGCATTTTTGTATCGATATGTAAACATATGGAAGGGGATGTGCTGTTTCTCTAAACCCATGATTATTTTTACTACTTTGAGGATTAGGCAAGCTTTTCTGCCATCGATGCAAGACTTCAAGAATGTCCCAGTTTGTTTATGTAGGCTTCGGACATGTCAGCATTCCTGCATCATTATCTGCCTGGGACCAGGCTAGCTAGAAGGAGGCAGGAAGAGAGATCTGGTAAGGTTTCCTGTTCTGTTTAACAGCACGATTAACTCTTCGTGGTCCAAGGGCCTCCTTGTTTTGCTGTCTGTACTCTTCAGTAAAGAAGGAAAGAGGTCTGGAGAAGAAGGGAAACCAAATTTTGCCGTAGTGCTGGAAATAAAAGAATTTGTTGGCCTCACGTTTGGGAGGTGGGAGATAGAATGTCAATGGCATATTACAAACTATAATGGTAATCAGTCCTAAAAAAGCATGGATAATTGAAATCCACTGAGAGAAGCCTCAAACTCACCAAATCTTTATCAGAGTTATAAAATGGTAATGGAATGGACTGTTTGGTCTTCAAATTCTGTCTTAATTACACTTTCTGGTAGATGTAGTTGAAGGATAAGGAAAATTAACTTTGGTTAATAGATAGAAAGATGGTAGGTACCTGGTCACATATGAAATGGAGAGTCAGTCCCCGAACAATGGCATTGGCTGTTCTGCAGGTGGGTGGCTTGGGTGGATAGAAAACATTGCATAAAATATTTTTTCCCCATCAGTTTTAGGGTCAACCTCTGTCAATTTTTTTGTGTTTTTTAATGGCTGCAGATTTATGGGGGGAAAAAAATAAGTGGTAGATAAAAAGGAATATCCCATGCCTTAAAAAGAAATTATGTGAAAATGTAAGGACTTGATTTGATCTGCCCTATCCCCTCTCCTTCCCCCACCCTGCCCTTTCCTCTGCTTGATAAGGCTAAAATCCACAGAAGTTTGAATTGGCAGAACAGAATATAAATGGGTATCCTTGCTGTAAGAATGGAAACTAGCAAAAGGCAAAATAGGAATGAAGTTTCCTTATCTTTATGACTTTGAGTGTAGATAACTTATGGACAGGAGTAGGAGAGAGGGCGGAGAGTTTGTTCAAAGGATGTGAAGGGGAGTACAAAGCCACTAGGCTGACTCATTATGCCTCAGGAAGAAACTGTTTCATCAGCATAATTAAATCTTGAACACAAGGCATAGTGGTTATGGTAAATTGTTCTCCTGAAATACATTTATTTGTTTATAGTGATATAGAGGGTAAAATGGTTGGGATTTTGTGCTTGGTTGTGTGTAGGAGGTAGGAGAGGAGGCCTCTGGGTTGAACCCTGGGGTTCTGACACGGCCAGTGGTCTGGATGCGGGTGCAATTTGCTGACCTGAGGAATACGGGGGAGTGTGGGTCTGGGGACAAGATGAAGAGTTTGATTTTGGACATATTTAGAAGAGCAAGTGGAAATATCTGGTAAGCAGTTGGATGGATTGGTCTGAAACTTGGGTGAAAGATCTGGTTAAGTGAAACACAAGAGTAAATGTGATTTTCCAAGGAAACCACATACAGGGAGAAGAGGGAGATTGTAAAGATTGGCCCAAACTCCTTAACAGGTTATGGCAGAAGGAAGCCCGAGGTATAGAGGAAAACAAAAGATGTCTTTGGATATACCAAATCCAGGGCAGAAAGCATGCCTCACTGGGAAAGGAGAGGTGCTATGCCTCCCATAATCTTGGAGGATCAGAATCAAAACCAAATGCAAACTGTTGGTGGGAATGTAAACTGTTACAGCCACTATGGAGAACAGTATGGAGGTTCCTTAAAAAACTAAAAATAGAATTACCATATGACCCAGCAATCCCACTACTGGGCATATACCCTGAGAAAACCATAATTCAAAAAGAGTCATGTACCACAATGTTCATTGCAGCACTATTACAATAGCCAGGACACGGAAGCAACCTAAGTGTCCATCGACAGATGAATGGATAGAGAAGGTGTGGCACATATATACAATGGAATATTACACAGTCATAAAAAGAAACAAAATTGAGTTGTTTGTAGTGAGGTGGATGGACCTAGAGTCTGTCATACAGAGTGAAGTACGTCAGAAAGAGAAAAATGCTGTATGCTAACACATATATATGGAATCTAAAAAAAAAAAAAAAAAAAGGCTCTGAAGAACCTAGGGGCAGGACAGGAGTAATGACTCAGACGTAGAGAATGGACTTGAGGACACGGAGAGGGGGAAGGGTAAGCTGGGACTAAGTGAGAGAGTGGCATGGACATATATACACTACCAAACATAAAATAGATAGCTAGTGGGAAGCAGCTGCATAGCCCAGGGAGATCAGCTCGGTGCTTTGTGACCACCTAGAGGGGTGGGATAGGGAGGGTGGGAGGGAGACTGCAAGAGGGAGGAGATAAGGGGACATATGTATATGTATAGCTGATTCACTTTGTTATAAAGCAGAAACTAACACACCATTGTAAAGCAATTATACTCCGATAAAGATGTAAAAAAAGAAAACAACAAATGCAGAAAGGAAATGAATAGAAAGCAGCAGCGTACTTGGGCCACTCTTGTGGGGCGGTGCTCAGAAGCTGCAAATCAGGAACTGGGGAGGCAGGAAGGAGCACCTGCTGTGAGCTGCTCTCCTCTCCTTGGGGCTAAGAGGACATAGGGGGACCTCGATTCCCCCAGTCACATGCCTCAGTGTCAGGAGACCGAAAGCTCAGGCCCTGGACTGACAGGGCATGGGTGGGCCTCGCTGGAGTGGCCTGATCCACTGCCCTACAGGGCATGAGTCAGTAGCAGAGCAGTTACCATGGAAAGCGGGTCAGTGTAAAGTTCCTTTTTTTTTTTTCCCTGTCTTTTTGAAAAGTCAGGCTTGCTTTTCTCTTATTTGTTGTTTATTATATTACTATGAAATAGTTATATCTCACAGTTTTATGGGCTAATTCTTTACATATGTTAGCTCACTTAATTTGTCACATTAGCTGTCTGATATAGGTAATATCTTTGTCCTTGATATTACCTATGAGGAAATGGAAACACAGAGAGGTTTAGCAGCTTGCCCAAAGCCACACAGCTAGTAAATTATGGATTTGGAGTTTGGTCTTAGGTGGTCTGACTTGAGTCCATGCTTTTAACCCCCACTTTATGTAACTATCCTATCATATTAATGGCTATTGTTATATAATTCCTGCCTATATGTTAAAATTGGAAAATGGAGGAGAATCTTATTACTTGCTCATCCTTTCTATTGGAATTCATTGGGATTTCTACTGTCGCGTTTAGAATTTTACTTAGGCACATTCTGCTTTTTCTTGAAACCTCTAGAGATTTCGTCTGCTCACGTTGAAGCAATGGATTATGATACATCACCAAGGGAAAATATAAAAAAACTTTTTTCTGTTTTCAGTTTTGGTCATACATTTTTGTTTGTTTGTTTTGTTCTGTTTGTTTTTTCTTTTAGGGCATCTGCTGTCATCCTCATTATAAAAGATTTATAGTTCTCTTTCAGGGATTTCAGTTTAATTTATGGATCCGAGAGTTGACTGTTGAGAGGTTCTTATTTTTCTTAATGCCTAAGCCGCTCCTCAGCAAGGTAGTAAGTTTGGGGAAGAATTAACCCATTTTATTCCTAATCAGCCCATGTCATTGCTGCTGACCCTTACTTCTGAGCAGTCCCCTTGGAGACCTGGAAGAGTTCATGGCTTTTCCACAGTGACCTAATGTACTGTTTAATCCCTGGAGAACATATGGTTTATTGAATATGTCTTCCCAATATGCTATTAGTGATTGTGTTTTTGGTCAGCTAATAGAGTCATGTGTAATTATTCAAAATGGATTTGAATTATGATTTGGTGGGAAGAGAGGGTTACAGAGTTTACCTTCAGATCATAAAATTTGAGAGCTGGGGAGAATCTTGATCATAATAGACCAGGCAGTTCAGTTTATAGATGAGGTTATGGCACGCGCAGGGCTTTATGAGAGTACGGAGAAGCCCTCGTCCCCGGGGGATGGGGGCGCAGGAGCAGGGAGGGGCTGCCAGCAGGAGGAGGTGCTGCATCCTGAAACTGCAGAGCAGTTTCATCTTGTGCACCGATGCCAATCAGCTGGGAGAGGCTGTCAACATCACTTTATTGAGACAGATTTTGAGGCTCCGTTTTGGCCCAGTAGGAAAGAATGCCACAGTCTCTAGCAATACCTTCATGGGTGCCATGGGGGAAGTGACAGTGCGTCTCACCTATTTCCAGTTGCTGTTTTAAAGGCCGAATGTTAGCCAGGGGATAATAGGAAGAAGACCATTCCAGGTTGGGGTGTGGGGGGATGGGATGGCTAGCACGAGGAAAGGCACAGAGGCAGGCGAGAGCTTGACATGTGGGACAGAAAGGGTGAGCCCCGGAAGGGGTTGGAGAGAGGGCCTGGGGTGATGTTCAGGGGCCAGATGGCTAAAGGCCTGGGCTGCCAAGGTAAGGAACTTGGGCCTTAGCTCTTAGGGAAGAAGGAGCCACTGAAGACTTCCCTGGAGGATTGGACAAAGAGGTTTGAGACTAGCAACATGCTGATTTGAAAATGTGTTTTAAAAAATCTTCTGGGGGCTTCCCTGGTGGCGCAGTGGTTGAGAGTCCGCCTGCCGATGCAGGGGACACGGGTTCGTGCCCCGGTCCGGGAAGATCCCACATGCCGCGGAGCGGCTGGGCCCGTGAGCCGTGGCCGCTGAGCCTGTGCGTCCGGAGCCTGTGCTCCGCAACGGGAGAGGCCACAACAGTGAGAGGCCCACGTACCGCAAAAAAGGAAAAAAAAAAAAAACAAAAAAAACCTTCTTCTGCATCCTAGCTATAAGCCGATCGTGGAATATATCGATGCCCAGTTTGAGGCCTACTTGCAAGAGGAATTGAAGATCAAACGTTCTCTCTTCAACTACCACGACACCAGGATCCACGCATGCCTCTACTTCATTGCCCCCACCGGACATTCGCTGAAGTCCCTGGACCTGGTCACCATGAAGAAGCTGGACAGTAAGGTACTCACTGCTGTTCTGGGTACCGTCCACTCTCCTGTAAGATCACTTCTATCCGGGGGCCCCAATTTACCTCTGCTTTCAGTGTAATTTGGTGTTTTGTTTTAAAGACTATGTTTTAGAGCAGTTTTAGGTTCACAGCAAAACTAAGAGGAAGGTGCAGAGATTTTCCACATACTCGCTGCCCCGTGACATGCATGGCCCCACTCCCACCCCATTGCCAACATTCCCATCAGATGGTGCCTTTGTTACAACTGGAGAACCTACAGTGACACATCACTGTCACCCCAAGTCCATAGTTTACATGAGGGTGCACTCTTGCTGTTGTACATTCTGTGGGCTTAGACACATTTATAATGACATGTATTCATCACTAGAGTATCATACAGAGTAATTTCACTGCCCTAAAAGGCTTCTGTGTGCCACCTGTTTATCCCTCCCTACTTCCTAACCCTGTGTTTGTTTTTTCTGGTTGACGGAGCCATAGGGTTTTGAAAAAAATGGTTCAAAACCTCTCTGGATATTAGGACAAAATAAAACAAACAAAACCATGTAGCTTATTACAAAGTATTTTTAGTTCTTAAATTAGCACTAGTGTATGCTTTGTTGAGGGTTGGGGAATTATACAGTGGAGACACCTAAAGGGTCGTAGGAAGCCTTAAATTTAGTGAGATTGAACTGTAATTTCATGCTTTGTTTATTTTCTTAAAAACTTTCTTTTAAATCTCTCTTTGAAAGGTTTTTACAGGCTTGGCTTTAACTTGAAGTTTAACATGGAAAAAAAAACTTTATTTTTTTTTATCTATGTGATAAGGATGGTCCAACTTCTTAGATTTTAAAACTGAGCTGCACCATTTGTTCAAAAGAAGTGGAGTCTCAGATCAAGCCTGACCCCTAACCTTTGCACATTTATAACCTTTCTCCTTCACAACATTTGGAGGAAGGGACTGATGAGTTTGACAACATTTGATGATCTACTTTATGATTAATTGAGCTACAGTATTTCCTCTTAGATTCTAACCTCCTTTTGAGTTCAATACAAAGTCTTACCTTTAGAGGGCTTTGTTGGGTGTTATTTTCTGTCCGAACAACACTGTTTAAAAGATGCCTTTGCTCCGGAGGGACGTAATACTGAGAGAATGCTGAGAAGATCAGCCTGTCCCCAAGGCCTCTGCCTGTACCAGCCCAAAAAGGGGCCTGCGGGCTGACACCGAGCCAGGCATCCGGGGCCCCCAGCTTGCGCAGACGCACTGCTTTACAGAAACATATTCTACCAGCCAGAAAGGAGTCCTGCAGCTAGAGCACTCTTGGGAGAATAAATGGAAACCCTTCCTCGTCTCATTTGATTCAGCTTCAGTGAACCATCGATGGTGGCTCACTGGGCAGGGAGGTCTGCTTCCTGCCTGTCGGGTCCTTGAGGGCAGGGCTGGGAAGCAGACAGCGGGAGGTGGCTTCCTCTCTGAGGCTGAGCTTGTAGACCACGCCAGGGTGATATCCAACAACAGGAGTATGCTTCAATTTAAAAAGGGAAAGAAAATAAGGCAAAACAAACAGCTAATCAAAACAAAATAAAACAATCGCTACAAAGCTGGTTAAACTGCTTTCAAAGAACTATTATTGTTGTAGAGCTGAAGTGCTAGGGAGTATCTGAAAATGGTATTGTCAAAGGTTTGTTGATACAAGTAAAGTGAAGAGTTAAGGCAAACAGATGACAATTTCAGACAGGATTTCCAAGCACCTGCCACTGAGGAAGAAGAGATTTTAAATCTAAATTTGCTTGGTTCCTCTATCTACTCTAATCAAATTGGCCAAGAAAATACGAACCTCTGCCATTTTGTCCATGTTGATATTAACCCAATACTAAGTGTGCACAAAAGTTAGCCAATACAAACCATAGGGAGGGGTTTGTTCCCCACGTCCTGGTCCAGGCGTTCTCCCACCCTCAATGATGTCTGTCTCGCTGAGGCAACTTGCTGCAGGAAGCCCATCCATGATAAGGTTAGGATTGGGTTGAGGAATAGGGCAGAACAGATTTTTCCATCAACGGGTCATCTCACTCTGGTTTATCAGGGATATTTGACTTGGCTCTTGGGATAAAAGGAGAAGCAAAGGAATGCAGATGTGACCCGGAAAACCCCCCTAAAGACTCCCTCTTCTCTGGCTGGGACTGATGGCTTTCTCACCGAGCCTGTTCCCTTTTCACCTGAGCTGGGTGGAGAGCATGGTCCCCGGTATCAGATGTCAGTAGCAACTTGTTGAAACCTCTGTACCAATCAGGGAGTGGAAGAAAGTTAATTGTAAAAAATCGATTTTAAAGAATGTGTCCTGTGGACAGTGCTGGGGTAAGTTGGGAGCAGAGTGTCCCACCTTGGGCTTTGGGGCTTGCACTTGAGGGTCCTTGGCCCTCGTTCTGGGCTTTCTGCCAGTGTTGTCAAACGTCAGAGTTCTCACCTGGTCTTTGTATCTGATGCTCTGAAAGTGAGCCTTGTCTTTTGGCGCTAGGTCTCATTCTGGCACAAAGAAGTAATGTGATAGAAGCTGATTTTCAAGAGAATTAGTTGGTGTGATTTTGAAAAATTTAAAAGTAGGTGAAATCAATTTTGTTTCGGTTAATACTTAGGTTCTCTGCTTCCAGCAGTTCTCAAGTCATCAGAAGAAAGAAAGGATGCTGTCCTGCATAGAGCTGAATATTCCACTATTCTAACTAATGAAAATCTTGGTATTAGACTGTTAGAAACATGCAAAAATCAAACTCCTAAAGTAGCTGGGAGGAGTCAAAAAGGAGTGGTTACTCAAAGAATAGGCTTCTTTGTTACCGCTCTTTGTCATAGAGTAACACTTCCTTTTACACGGTAAAGAAGAATGAGGTGGCATAGAAGAGGAAATTATGAGGATGCTTTCTTTCAGTGCCAGATGGGAGCGAGTAAAAATGTTCAGAGATGGAACTAAAAGATTATTCCATATCTTCTTAATTTTGCATCTAGGTAAAAAGTCCAATATTTAATATCATCTCTATTTCTAAGGGAAGTCTTACAATTTCTGCTGCTTTGTTTTCTGTATTTTATTCATTTGTCTATTTTTCTTACGTTGGAATCGTATAAAAATGGATGTGTTTGGTTTATAGGTGAACATCATTCCAATCATTGCAAAAGCTGACACCATTGCCAAGAACGAATTGCACAAATTCAAGAGTAAGATCATGAGTGAACTAGTCAGCAATGGAGTCCAGATATATCAGTTCCCCACAGACGAAGAAACGGTGGCAGAAATTAATGCAACGATGAGTGTAAGTCCTCAAGTAAGATAGGACCAACCAGTGATTTTCTTGAAAGCTTTTCTTAGTAGCAGCATTGTGCAGTGGCTAGAACATTGGACGAGCATCTAACATACTCAGTGGGGTCCAGCTCTGCCACTGTTTCAAGTAATTTAATCACCCTACTCCTCAGTTTGTCCATCTGTCAAATGGGAGAGTTAGACAAGATCTCAGATCTCCTTCCTGCTCTAACAGTTATGATTTCCACAGCAAATCTTGTGGGAAGGGAATGCCAGCCCAGCACCATTTCACACAACGCAGCTTAGAGGAACTAGCTCTCTGCTTGCTTCTGCCAGTGTCAGCAGAAATATATCCACCTGCCTCTCTTTTGCTTCTGTGATTGGTTCCTGCCTTTTTCTCCTTTCTGCATTCCCCACCCGTTCCTGAATCATGAGGTAAACTGGCAGTGGAGGGTAGAATTTCCACATCACAGGGAGGAATGGTCAGGAGATAAATGATGGAAGCTTCAGCAATCTAGGTGTGCCTGTGATATAATCTCTCCTGATGACACTCCGTCCTGCTAGTCGATACCCAAGTCTTTCCCACTGCTCCTGTGTGTCTCGTGGCCGTGGCTCAACTCTGTGTCACGTAACTGTACCCATCTTTCTTCAGTTGGGAATGCCCGACTTCTGTAGAAGAAGCAGCATTCTTCACACATAGTTGATGCCCACTGAGGGTGTTTGGAATTCTTAAAACTGCAGGTTAGCTTCAATGGAATGTAATTAGAAGCTGTTAAATAGCTTGGCCTTCCCTGAATACGTGCTCGAAATTGATTCAGAAGTGCGCTGGTGGCAGCAGAAGTCAGTCTAGATTTTTTAATTTGTGGTCCGTTGAGGTATGTTTTACTTTCCTCAGATCTGATCATGACAAGTGTCTAATCAAGTCATTATTAAAGGCACTAAAGGTGCTCTTTTTTTTTTTTTTTCCCCCGGTACGCAGGCCTCTCACTGTTGTGGCCTCTCCTGTTGCGGAGCACAGGCTCCAGACGTGCAGGCTCAGCGGCCATGGCTCACGGGCCCAGCCGCTCCGCGGCATGTGGGATCTTCCCGCACCGGGGCACGAACCTGTGTCCCCCGCATCGGCAGGCGGACTCTCAACCGCTGTGCCACCAGGAAAGCCCTAAAGGCACTCTTTTAATTAACAGCTTTGTTGAGATATAATTGATATACTGTATGACACCCATTTAAAGTATACAATTCAGTGGTTTTTAGCGTATTCACAGAATTGTACAACTATTGCCGCAATCCATTTTAGAACATTTTCATCACCCCAGGAGGAAACCGTATACCTTTTAGATGTCAGCCCTCTAACCATCAAACACTGGCAACCACTAAGCTACCTCCTTGTCTCTGTAGGTTTGCCTGTTCTGGACATTTTATATAAAGAAAGTCATACTGAAGCTTGTCTGGAGAATTAAACGACTTGGTCAAAGCCTTCCAGTTAAGAGCAGCACTGGGATTCTGACCCAGTCCACCTGGTCCCAGTCTCGTTGCTGTTTGCCATCGTGATTAGGAGACCAGACTAATTCCACAAAACTGCTTCTTCCTTCTTCCATTCAGCATACGGACTTTTCTAGATATGGCTGTTATCATTTAAGGAGGAACTTTTCCCATAAATCACTCCCAACATGATTAGGGCTTTGGAAGGGAATGTAACTTTCCCCTTCTCTGGGAAATTGTTGAATTTAAAATTTTACGGGGCGTCCCTGGTAGCCCAGTGGTTAAGAATCTGCCTGCCAATGCAGGGGACACGGGTTTGAGCCCTGGTCCGGGAAGATCCCACATGCCGCGGAGCAACTAGGCCGCTGCACCACAACTGCTGAGCCTGCGCTCTAGAGCCTGCGTGCCATGACTACTGAAGCCCGCGTGCCTAGAGCCCATGCTCCGCAATAAGAGAAGCTACCGCAACGAGAAGCCCGCGCACTGTAACAAAAAGTAGCCCGTTCTCACTGCAACTAGAGAAAGCCCGTGCACAGCAACGAAGGCCCAAAGCAGCCAAAAATAAATTAAAAAAAAATTTTTTTTTAAATAAATAAATAAAATTCAGGGATCTCATTAATGCAGAGATAGACCAGCTCGGCTCTGTCCTAGTCTGGTCACACTGAGTCATGTGACCCCCTCTGGCTGTCGTGCTCCTGTGTCCAGGATAGTAAAGGGTCTGGAATTCTTGGAAGGAACTGGAGAGCAGATTCTTCCTGGGAAATGGCCATGAGGGCATGCGAAAGGAAGGTAATCATAGGGGAGAGCGACTAGACTCACTTAAAAGGTAGAACCAAAACCAGAGGGCAAAAGAGCATTGCGGGCTTTGGGCCCAGTGAAGTGCACGTTTAACTCGTGGTGCCTTCATCACAGGTAGTTGGTGGGCAACAGATTCTGCTTCAACTCACTCAGAAGAGATACCATGGAGGGAATTCCTACACAGGCTCCACCCCTAAAATTCTCTGGTTCTGGGTACTGAGAACTTGGTGATACTAGTAGTGCCTGACATTTTGACATTTAGGGAGCACTTATTACTATGCATCGGGCACTGCTCCAGGCTCCACATTTAATGTTCACACCAGTCCCACGGACCCAGGCAGAGGAGCGTACTTGGTTATAGCATCACTAAAAGCTCAGGCTGGGACGGCACGTGTTTATTCGGCTGTAGGGCTGCAATTTGGGGTCAGTGGGATTCAGGAAGTAACATGAATGAATACCATCCAGTTTTTCTCTGTATATCCCTTCCTGTCCTTTTAAATAATTTTGCATGGCCATGAAACTAAATTTGTGTTAAATTTCTTGGAAAGAAAATACCCATGAATCTTTGCTCCTTTTCTCTCTTTATCAGATTCACAGAACTGATATTCCCAAATTCATTGTGCTCTTTATCAAGGAATTTTCTTCTAGGATCTTCCTTGCAGGCAGTTCCTGGTGATGAAATCCCATATGATAAGTGGAAAGCAGATTTCATTGGCGGTTGCTTTCGTCACTCAGGTCGAGCGGAGAGGGCAGTTCCCTGGGTTGGCACAGCAGAACGTGGGCTGGAAGGGTCCTATTACCCCTCAGCTCCAGGGAACCACATTTCAGTTCCAGATGCTGAAAAAGAGAACGTGCTTTCTTTCCTTCCTACAGAGTGTGAGATGAACTAGAAAATATAAGTATCTGGAGCGCCAGACCAAATACCAGTTGGGCGGCCCGGGCTGAGGATTTTGCCAAGCTCTGGGAGAGGATCTGGCTTTAAAACACTCTTGTCTGCCTCAGGGTATCTGTAGTGGAAGAGCACTGGGTCAGGGAGCCCTAAATAATAATTCTCAGAGCAGCCATTTCAGATGTTATTCTCACGTGCTAATAGGAGAAAGATAGAATTACTGTTTTCTCCCCGGAATGTAGCCATAGTTACCAAATAAACCAACGTGGCACAGCCAGTTGTCTTGAATAGTAGCTCTGCTCAAGGTAAGTCGGGGTGCAAGGCTTGAGCCAGTAAGTTGAGCTAAAGTATATTTGACTTGAATTTTGTGCAGTGATCAACTGTCTGAAGCAGTGCTGTTTGGTAGAAATATGAACCACACAAGTAATTTAAATTTTCCAGTAGCCATATTTTTTTTTAATAAATAAATAAATTTATTTATTTTTTTATTTTTGGCTGTGTTGGGTCTTCGTTTCTGTGCGAGGGCTTCCTCTAGCTGCGGCGAGCGGGTCCGCTCTTCATCGCGGTGCGCGGGCTTCTCACTACCGCGGTCTCTCTCGTTGTGGAGCACAGGCTCCAGACACGCAGGCTCAGTAGTTGTGGCTCACGGGCCCAGTCGCTCCGCGGCGTGTGGGGTCTTCCCAGACCAGGGCTCGAACCCGTGTCCCCTGCATTGGCAGGCAGCTCAACCGCTGCGCCACCAGGGAAGTCCCAGTAGCCACATTTTTAAAAAGTAAAAAGAAACATAAAATTAATTTTAAGACCTTATTTAACCCAGTATATCAAAAATATCATTTCAACATGTAACCAATATAAAAATTATTAATGAGATGTTTCCATAGCAGGGCTTTGAGGTCCTCTGTGTGTATGTGTGTGTGTATTCTTTTTTTGTCGTACCACGTGACTTGTGGGATCTTAGTTCCCCAGCCAGGGATTTAATCCAGTCGCTGGCAGTGAAAGTGTCGAGTTCTAACCACTGGACTGCCAGGGAATTCCCCCAATGTATAGTTTATAATTACATACATCCCAACTTGGACGCATACCTAACTTACTGCTAACATATTTAAAAGTTTTTCAATATGAAGTAAGTACCAAAAAGATAATTTTCCTTCATGTTTGCATCTACGTTAACAAAACTGGTTCTTCTTTTTTTTAAGAAGATCTGAGTTTGAAGCAAAGTGAAATGCAGTCCTACCAAAACAATAAAGTGATAATTAATGGAAAAATATTTCACACTGCTTCCCTTTAAATGTAACTTAATTAAAAGTAAATAGAATTTAAATTTTCTTCATTTTACAAGCCTCCTTTCAAGTGCTCAATAACCACATAGACCAGTGGCTAGTCTCAGGCAGTGGACATCCCACGCTTACCATAGAATCGCAAAGACTCCTAGTTTCCCCCTGAGTCCAGCTCATGTCAGATACTTGGCATCTGGTTGTAGGGGGGGTCGGATACACGAAGACCAATCCCACTGAACCGTTGAGCCCCTCGCTCTTCTGCCCTCCCTCGCCCTTTTCTCTTGCCCTGAGCAGAGGCCTGCGGGGGGAGGGGGCGTGTGGAAGCGGAGGAGAGCACGTGTTTGCAGCACGGGGAGGATAACCGCTCTCTGTCCTGTGTTGCTGGCAGGTCCACCTCCCTTTCGCAGTGGTCGGCAGCACCGAGGAGGTGAAGATTGGCAACAAGATGGCAAAGGCCAGGCAGTACCCCTGGGGTGTGGTGCAGGGTACGTGCGCATCGCGGGGAAGGGCTTCCCCGTGTGTCACCCCCAGGGTGGCTGTCCCCGCGGGGTCTGGGCAGGTCCTTGACGTGGGCAGGTGGAAGGGGGTGGCAGGGTTTTACACCTGGCAGTCGTGGAGGCCAGAAAGAAGCAGGGAGGCTGGGAAGCAATGGAGAGAAGTGGTTGCAGAGCCCTAGTGCCGATGAGGCAGCCCCCCAAGAATGCTGGGTTGTGTGGGGAATTTCGTATAAATTCCTGCTGGAAGAGAGATCTTCCCTGGGAGTTTGAATGAGTTCTTCATCAGCAAAGAATAAGAAAAGCTGCAGAAAGCTTCTTGCGAACAAGAGGATACTTGTTTCTCCATTATCTCTGGAAAAATTGTCTTCTTGGTTTTTTTTTTTTTTGGAAATTGTCTTCTCAGTAAATATCTGAGAACAAGGGACCTATAATTGTTGTGGGACATGACCACAATCTCTAACCTGAAGACATTTCCTATGTCACTTTGATGGGCAAGGTCTCAGATTCTATTACCAACCCTTGTGTGTTGTGAAGGAGGGACGTCCAATGCTATGGATTGAGTAGGGTGGCTGCAGAAAGTTCCCTCATTGGCTTATGATATATCAGTCCTCCGTTTCCTTTGTTCTGAGTAAAGGCAATAAATCTGTGAGACATGAGAAAGCACAGTACCTTTGAGATATGTAGGAAAATTATGGTTTTTATCAATCTCCCCAAATTCTCTACAATAGAATAACTTGCTTTATAGTGTTGTTGATAAAATTAAAGGAGATGATACATAAACACTGCCTTGTACAGGTCCCGACAGCACGGAGGGGTAGAAATCGGCCTGGCTTTGGAGCCAGAGGTGACGGGGTCTGAGTATAGACTCTGCTGCCTCTGTCTGGGAGGTCAACCTGCTCATCAAAGCCACGCTCTGCATCTGGGAGTCCTGCTAGGCAGAACTGCTACCAAGAGTCAAGACAGTATTGGCAAAGCTCCTCCCACGGTGCCCCGCCCTCAGCAGCCACCCTCATCAGCTGTCATGGTCCCTGCTGTCAGAAATCCTGTCTCTGTAGGGGTGTAAGGAGGATCCAGTGAAGGACCTTCGGGTGACCTTGAGGCCTCCGAGATTTCAGGGGCAATGGTAACTACGTCTTAGAAAGATCACTTCAGATTTTCGTGACCTCGCTGCTGAGAGCCCTCCCCGCTCTCTTCCCCATCTCCTGCAGTTGAGAATGAAAACCACTGTGATTTTGTGAAACTTCGGGAGATGCTGATCCGTGTGAACATGGAAGATTTGCGAGAACAGACTCACACCCGCCATTATGAGCTGTATCGACGCTGTAAGCTCGAAGAGATGGGGTTCAAGGACACCGACCCTGACAGCAAGCCCTTCAGGTATGTGGGCACCTGGCAGTCAGGCCCCCCAGGCAGCGGTGTGAGTGGCGCGCTGGTGCATCACAGAAATGCTTGTTGGATTGAGAGATGGGTGGTGGAGGGACCTGGCGGGGGCAGATTCATAGCACGGATCGCCAGGCGTTGCGATAACCGCTTTATTTGTATCATCTAGAGTACCCGATGTAGCTGATGTCATTATTGCATCCTCATTTTACAGATGAGGAAATGAAGGCACTGCAAGTGTAAACAGCCTGCCCAAGTAGGAAGTGACAGGTGTGAGTTTTGAACCTCTGTTCTTGTGAGTTTTGAACCTCTGTTCTTAACTGTTATACTCACAGAGGCACAGAACCTGGTCCAGGCATTTACAAAGGTGTGGATGCCCACTACAGTTTGTCCCGTTCATTTTTGCCAAATAGGTTTAACTTGCCATGTCTCCTACTTTTTGACGTGCTCTTACTAGTTTCCAGTGAACCAGTGCAATTCTAACAACACGAATGAGTACTGAAGGCAACAACTTACAGAACATTTGCTATGTATTTTCCCACGCCGCTGATGGATTGAGAGGAAGAGGCAAAACGTGAAGGGGAGAATATCGAAGTTAATGTAGAATTAGTGGCCCTGCAAGGGCCAGGCCCTGTTAGAGCCCAGTGGTGGGGAAGGGTTGGTGGGGGCAGAGTGCCGGGGCTACTCCAGGCTTGGTGAACGGTCCGAGGAAGGTTTGCCGCCACCTGGTACAGGACAGGATTGCTTCACGGGGATCTGAGTTGAGGTGATGTGAGGTGTGTCTGTGTTTGGCACCTGTACTGATCGGGGGCCACGGTTCCTTGGAGAAGACTGTTTTCCTCCTCTTTTGTGGCTGGCCTGGACTCCCACTCAAATGTCTAGTTGCGGCTGGCCATGGTGCCTGAGGCAGCCTGTGTGCAGTGCCAGTGGACTCCCTCCGCTGGATCTGAGCTGCCATTGCAGCGGCAGGGAGGTTATTTTCTTGGAATCTCTTTAGTTTGGTGAAGTCTGGACTGGTCTCCCAGTGAAGTGTTCCTGTGGAATGTATTTGGTGAGAACAAATGGAGACCGCAGACAGAGGGCTTCTAACCAAAAAGTTAGCTTCTAGCTAAGTTTGCATCATTTAGTCCTGCTCTAGGGGCTTGTAAAATTGGCCCTCTTCATTCACGTGAAATGTGCTTTCTGAGGCTGGGTAGAGGATGCCCTTTTGTATACACAGGTTTAGGGGATTGAACCTTGAAATGCATTGACCAAAAAATAGCCCCTACACAATCTCTGAGGAAAATGGTTTTTGTGTGGCAGAGACTCTCTTTATTTTTTCATAGAGTTTTGTGTTTTTTTTCACCCATGCATAGAGATGAAACGAAAGGAACCACAGTAAAAATGGAACCCACGTGCCCTCCGCCCTCGTTCAAACCCAGGCGATGTTGAAGGGTGAAGGGGCAGCAGTGTGGGTTCAAGTCTTAACCCTGCTACTACCCAACTCCTTAACCTGTCTGGGCCTCAGGTTCTTCATCTGTAAAACGAGGAGCTGGGCTAGATCAGGGGACACTCAGATCTAGTAGGAGAACTTTTTCCAGAATGTGCCACAGAGGAAATGCTCTAGGCTCTGTGGACCATGTAGTCTCTGTCCCAGTGATTCAACCCCACCCTTGTAGTGTGAAAGCAGCCAGAGACCCTAACGTGAAGGAACAGGAGTGACTGTGTTCCAATAAAAACGTACAAAAACAGGCAGGGCCAGAGTTTGCCCTCGGGCTGTAATTGGCCAGCCCCTGGCCTAGATCATCTCTTGGAGCCCTGAGCTGCCTGCAGAAGTTAGAATGCATGTGACTGTTTCTTAAGTCTGTGAGAGGTAATTTACCTCCCCAAATGTTAAGACCCATTCAGCACAGCTGTGTTTTTTTCAGCTCTGGAATTTGGAGTCTGTGATGCAGGCCCCTTCACTAACCTTCCACCATCTCGACCAACTGGGGTTCCTGGTTCCCGGGAACCAGGGCTGGTGAGGATTTCCTGCTGCTGCCTGTGTCTCTGCGTTTGAGTTACAGTTTCTCCTGCAAGGCCAGGGTAGCTGCCGCCAGGAGGAGGGTTGCTGGGTGGGTCCAGCCTGTCCTGCAAGGACCCCAGGGGCTTCAGGACCCGTGGTGGACGTCGCTGAGGCCGGACTTGTAGAGAATGTGCTTTATTCACACGTATCCCCCTCCCCATTTGGTTCCTTTTCTACTGGCCTGAGGGTTCCTTTTTGAGGATGAAAAGGAGGGAAATATATTTTATATAAAATATATTTTGTGAATGTAAATATGTTATATATAAATCTGTATATAAAACCAAGGCCTTTACTCTTTTCCCTGTATAAGAAAATAAGAAACAGAGAAAAGTAGACCTTCTAAAAATAAACACTCGTCTCAGTTTCTGGGAACCCTGGAAATAGTTTCTCCTCTTAGAAACCCACTCACTCAACCTCAGGTGGCCCTCTTGGTGTAGGCAGGATCATTTGGAACATGAAAGTTGGCTTTGAGTCACATGTCTTGGCAGATAGCAAGGTGAAATAAACTTGGTCTTCCTCTCCTTGGAAACCACTGCTTTACAAAGGGCCCAGCCTCTCCCTTGGAGGAGTTTCCAGCCTCCCCAGCACTTCCTGTGAGCCTGACACTGAGGGTGCAGGAGGGGACCTGCGTGAATGATGACACGGTTAAGGAAAAGCAAAAGCCACAGTTAATTGAAGGGATTTCCCATTTCAAAGTCGTCATGCCTGGATGCTCATGGAAGACTTTTTTTTCCCTGTGAATTTAGGGTGAGCTTGGAGGAGGTGTCAGTGGAGGACTCAAGGCTTTTATATTCTCAAAGTAGATAGAGGACCCCTTCACGGGTGTACAGGGAAGTCCGTCCTCCCCTCTGGGCACCCTGTGCCCACCACTTGCCCTCTGGGTGCCACTTGTGTTTATACCATGTGTTTACAAAGCAGAGAGTGGCCTCTGCAGCCGAGGCCCGTTAAGCGGGAGCTCCCCTGAATATATGACACCGTGTGAAACCAAACCAGAAGCTGGGCGAGCACAGGAACAGGCCGCATTTAAGCCTTGGAAGCCCGTCCCGGGCACAAAAGCTGAACCTGTCCCTGGTGCTTTCCTTCAACCTGCCTGTGTCTCTCTCGTCTTGCGGTAGAGTCTTTCTCTCTGTCCCTACGCGTGTATATGTCCAGGTGTCAACCTGCTTTTTCTTGTGCGCATCTTTCCCACCTGCTGCCCTGCAGCCTCAGAGCTCATGCCTCACCCCAGCCGGAGCGCCCATGCCTTCGCTGGACCCAGGTCCCCCAGACCCTGGCCCCTTTCCGGCTGGCATTGGGGGAAGATGGGGGCGGGGATGGGTCTTGTCGCTGCTGCTTGTCTCCTGAGATGCCACCGCCCTCTTCCTAACACTCCATCCTCACCTCAAAGCACCACCTTCTCCTTGACTCTGCCTGTCAGGTCACAAAAAGTGCTCCTTTACTGCCCCTCTCTCAAGAAATCACAAAGGTATCAGGCCCATGAGACCATTCATTTTTAGGAGCATGGAGGCCTCACTTCCCCAGCCTTGGGAGGTGGGGCTCCCACCTGAGCTAGGTGGCCCAGCTGAAAATCCCGGCTCTGTCACTTCTTCACTGTGTGACCTGCACAGGTTAGGAAGCCCCTCTGTGTCCGAGTTTCTCCATGTATAAAATGGGAGGTGATAATAATAGCTACCTCACTGCGCTGTTGTAAGGATAACACATTTGCGTGTGTAAGTTCCTCCGTAAACCCCGGTGGCGTGCGGTGCTCTGGCCTGCCCCCCACTGGGTGGTCCGGGAGACGTAACAGGGAGACAGCTGTGCTACGTGAATTACCGGAGTGCACGATGAACTGGAGTGTCAGTGCTCATTTTCCCTTCCCTTGACCTCCATGAGCAAAGCCTGCCCCTCCCAAAAGCTGTTAGAAGAGAATGAGAAGATAAAAGCCTCAAACCAGCCCAAACCCTCATGAAAAAATTGTTCACTTCTCACTTGGAAAAGGGTGTTAATAACTACAATTAAAAATTAAGTTGGAAGAGCTAGAAATTGCAAAAGGGATCATCACTTTAGGTATCTGAGAGGGTACTATAGATGCAGTTCCTTCTGGACTGGTTTTCACTGACGGGAAGCATAGGGGAGGGTGTCTGGTGTCTCTCACTCACATGTGGATTTCTGCAGGTGCCCAGGGAGTAGGATCTGTGACTGCCTTGCTAAGAAACCTACTGCAGGTCACTCCTTGGAGTGGGGGGTTTATGATTTCTTTCTCATACGTTGCTTATGCGTTCCAGTGTCAGAGTTGCAAAGCTGGTTCCTATCCCCGGATGCAGCCATCTAATAAGCAGCGTGTGTTGAGGCCATCTGGCTGGTGGCAACATTGCTCCTTAACCTTTCTCTAGAACGTGCGCTTTCCAGCTTTGGGCTGCAACCTTCACTATCAACATGTGTTCTACATCGTGATCCAATATACACATATCGTGAAGCGATACCTGCTCTTAGAGTTTGCACTGCATTCTGGTTTCTTCTATCCTGTTCTCTAAACTTTTTCTTTTAACATACTGGTTAAAACCCTTGATTGGGTCATGACCCATAGTTTGAAAATGGATCTCCAGAAACTGGAGCCTAAGCTAGGTTGTGGTTGGGACTGGATCAGGTCGAGTCACGCTGAGGGGTCTCAGAATTCCAGTAGCATTACCCAAAGGACCTTCTCTCTGTGGGTCACTTAACAGAAGTTTCCACAGTTAAACAAATTTGGTTCTAAGTGAATCAACTTAAACAGGTTTTGTTTTTTTTTTTAATTGAGGGACTTTTCAGAGCACTTAAGACAAGCAGTGGTTGGCAGACTAGGTACATCAAGTCACCTGGAAGCGTTTTAAAAATACAGATTACTTTTGCCTTCGCCTGACATCCTGCGTCAGCATCTCCAGGAGTGGAGTTAGGAAACTGTGCTCAGAAAAGTCCAGTAAAACACGCCCAGGCGACCCTGACGTGCTGCAGGTCTTGGGAGCCACTGTGCGCTGTGGCTCTCCTAAAGGGAGGTCACACATTGCATTTTCCTTTTGTTCTTCTGGCTTGGGAACCCCACTTTTGAAGATTTCTTGAAACTAGCGATCTCTGGAACACACTTTGGGTCATGTTTCTTGGTAGTGTTTCTCTACTAGGTGTTCCACTGCTTGTTAAGAAAGAAGAGGAAGATGGATTCATTATCTTAAAATCAACAAAAACTGGGTTCCCCAAAAATTTCATAGCAGGGACAAGTCATCTTCTGCCTTTGGCCATTCTGACACAAATGATAGTGATAAAGAGTTTATTAGAAGCTAACAAGCAAAATCAAACTCATGGATTATTTTATAGTTTCATTATCCGTGCATTTCTCTATAGCTTAAATTTCAAGTCCAAATATTGCTATCAATATTAGCCAACACTAATGTCGGCCAAACTTGCTTTTGTCTCCTGAGATAATGTGAAAGCCAGATATACCTCCAGAAACTCCAAACTCGTGAGTGTCCATTACCCAGGCAGTGTTGACACTCTTGAGGGCAGGAGAACTGATTGTTCAGCAACCAATAAGAGCATTGATTATAGAAGTATAAACAATCCTAATTAATGCATTTTGTAAGTATGCTGCTCTGTATAAACGTATATCCACACGCACACACCCCTCCACCACCTGAATGTCCTCCTTCTACATGGACAAGTGTGAATGCTGGGGTGGCTCTTCATGGAGCCTGGGCTCACCCACAGGCGCTCTTCATTTTGGAATCAGCACTTTGGATGAATTTGGTCCCTGGGTAAAAGTGGATAATCCTGCTGCAGACTTGTGTAACTGTAGCAACCCTTGTTCTAGAGAAACTGCAAGGGAGAGAGAGAGAGAGCAATTACCGGCAAATGTATCTCTGTTTGTGTAAGTGTGGGTGTGGGTGTCTGTTTTTTTTCTAAGTTGTGTTACCAAAGGTGATTTTTCTGTAAATATAGCTCTTCTGACTTGGAGGTAAAACTGAGTGATGGCCTTTGTTTTAAAATATTGGGCCCCAAGTTCTGTAGACAGTCAGGGGGAGGATAAGGTTTAAAATAAAAATCAAACTCCTCCCTGCTCTATTTACAATTGTTAATACCACTTGAAGAGCAGCAATTTTCTGTAATACCTTGAGATACACTATTGTCTCTTTAGATGGTTCGCTGAGTCTGTTTTCTAAATTGGGGGCTGGAGGAAGACGAGTGCGGGGGTAACATTTATTAAGCACCGATGTTGTCTCAAATGCTTTACTCGCTCTGCCCACATTTACCTCCCGAAATCATGGGCCCCGGAAGGCACTATATTCAGAGAACACTGAGGCTGAGAGGCCGTGCCCTTCCGAAGATCAGTCAGTAAATTGCTGTGAACCCCAAACCAGCCCTGGTGGATCTGTCTGGCTCCAGTGCCGATGCATTTCTCTCTCTACACCCCCTCCATCTTCTAAAATTCTAAATCACGTCTTCTGTATCTACGTGGTACTGAACTGGGAGATTCTGGCCAGCCCAGGCTTCCCCTGTGTGACTGCCTGTAGCATACAGCTTGGCCAGTAAGAGACATCCCGTTAGTGCTACCCTGTACTTACGGCCGCATCTCTGGTTCCTGATGTGCTTGTCTTTCTGGTCGCCACATAACTAAAAAGAAAGATGATGCCATTTTGTGTGTCCCTGAACCTGGTGAGTTGGCAGCCTTATTTATTTTGAGGAAGTGGCTGGGTAGGAATTGTCTGGACTGAAATGTCTTATCATGCAACTCCATGACACTGTCCTTGGTTTGTGGCTTTTGAATAGTCTTCAGGAGACGTACGAAGCAAAAAGGAATGAATTTCTGGGAGAACTTCAGAAGAAAGAAGAAGAAATGAGACAGATGTTTGTCATGAGAGTGAAGGAGAAAGAAGCTGAACTTAAGGAGGCAGAGAAAGAGGTAAGCCACCTGTCCTTGCATCCGGGGGAGATACAGACAAGACAGGCCTTCGTGCTGCTTTAAGCACTTGCTACCTATGTTCTGTCACACGAGGGGCCTAACTAACCTGGTACGAAGAGTAGGGCAGCCAGTCTTGTCCCCATTTCACAGATGGTAACACTGAGTGTCGTAAAGCTTAAGTTATTTATGCAGTCACATACCTAGTTAGTAGCAAAGCCAAGACTAAAGCTAGAACTTAGGTTTCCAGACCTGACCCCACATTCCTTGTAACTCCATATTTCATCAATTTACAAGTGATGAAACATAAGATTTGCAATTCTGGGACCATTATTGTCTCAGTCTACCAGTCAACTCAGTGAGCTAAACAGTGGGGGGCCCTTCGCCCCTGTCTGATGGGGGACGGGCTCCGTCTGCCACGTCTGTGCTCTGACTTCCCTCTGGGGTGCACACCCCGGCTCCAGTGTCCCGCTGACTCTAGTTCCCCGCGCCCAGCCCAGGGTAGCTGCATCCTAGAGGTTACCTTGGATTCCTTTTTTATTTCTAAAGAAGTGTTTATTGATTATTTAAGTTTTATTTTGAGAGGTTTCTTGAAACACAAAGTATAGTTTTTGGTGTATCACTTTTTTTTTTTTTTTTTTTTGCGGTACGTGGGCCTCTCACTGTTGTGGCCTCTCCCGTTGCGGAGTACAGGCTCCGGACGCGCAGGCTCAGCGGCCATGGCTCACGGGCCCAGCCGCTCCGCGGCATGTGGGATCCTCCCAGACCTGGGCACGAACCCGTGTCCCCTGCATCGGCAGGCGGACTTTCAACCACTACGCCACCAGGGAAGCCCGGTGTATCACTTTTGATATGGAACAAAGTTGTTTCTAATAATTAAGCACAGAGACACACAAATTATCACTTTAAAATATTTTAAGCACACAAAATCTGCCTAAAACTGCACAGATGAATGTATATTTCATTATAAGGTACCCATTATTTAAATTAAACCAAGAACTTAATTTAGTTGCCATTAGATTAATGAAGTGTGGAAACTTTTAAGGTCACTTGATTAAATGTAAATGCATCCTTTTTACTTATATTTGTTTCTTATATGTAATACCCTAAATACACGGCTAAACGTGTGCATAGAATAAAGTGAAATAACAATGAGTATTTTCAGATGTACAGATTATTTCACATTATGATGAGTAGTAATTTGATCTCATTTTAAGTAATATTTTCATTATAATAAGATACAGTTTTAGCAGAGTTCAGAATTAAAAAGTCAATTCTCTTCAGATTTTAAAATGACCCAATTAATTCTTTAGCTGATATAGCTCAATGAATATTACTCATTTTACCCTGTTAAGAGATAAACTGAGGGACTTCCCTGGTGGTCCAGTGGTTAAGAATCTGCACTTCCACTGCAAGGGGGCACGGGTTCAATCCCTGATCAGGGAACTAAGATCCCACATGCTGTGCAGCGTGGCCAGAAATTAAAAAAAAAAAAAGATAAACTGAGGCGCATTACAATTTATAAGATTATAAGAGTTTATCTGAGCAAACATCAATTGGAATCAGGCCCCATGGATTTCTGCTGTAACAGTAACCCCAATGAGAGCAAGAAATAGGTTTGCCTTTGATGGTAGATAATAAGAAACTTAGAGGTTATTTAACTAGCTAAGTACTCACCCTAGTTTTGCTGCAGAGAAAGGAAAGTTGAGCCTTATTTGCTGTTGGCTTTAAGTATCAAGTTGAATGCTAGGTAAAAATTCTAGAATTATCTACATAGTAAGGATTTTCCCCTCCCTCCCTCCCAGTTTTTTTTTAATATAAATTTATTTATTTATTTTTGGCTGCGTTGGGTCTTTGTTGCTGTGCGCGGGCTTTCTCTAGTTGTGGCTAGCAGGGGCTACTCTTCGTTGCGGTGTGTGGGCTTCTCCTTGCAGTGGCTTCTCTTGTTGCGGAGCACGGGCTCTAGAGTGCAGGCTCAGTAGTTGTGGCGCACGGGCTCTAGGCGTGCGGGCTCAGTAGTTGTGGCTCGTGGGCTCTAGAGCGCAGGCTCAGTAGTTGTGGCGCACGGGCTTAGTTGCTCCGCGGCATGTGGGATCTTTCCGGACCAGGGCTCGAACCCGTGTCCCCTGCATTGGCAGGTGGATTCTTAACCACTGTGCCACCAGGGAAGCCCCCTTCCAGTTTTTGTTTCTGCATTGTGATAATTTTCTAAATTCAGTTTGTCAAGTGCCCGAAATTTCTCCACATACTCTTCTTATTTGAATAGCATGGGTACATATATCTGTAGTCACTGTGTAAGTCTCTAAGTAAATATAGATTATACTTTTCAAAAAAGGACCAGAAGTAAAGAACTTTTCTTACCACTAGGGTGAGTTTCTTATTAGGAGCATGGATAATTTTTATTTTCTTCTTTATGCTTTTTACAATGAACACGTACTTTATTATCAGAAAAAGTGCACAGAGGTTCCCCTTAGTGCTAAGGGGTCCAAGTTTCAACAGTGTGTAGGGCTCCAAGGGGTGCTTTTCACCACCTCGGCCTGGCTCAGCACCAGACGGTACCTCAGTCGTGTAACTAAAGCACGGGCAGCGGCACACACACGTTCTGCTTCTGAACGGATCCAGGTAGCCTTACGCCAGTAAGCGTACCATTCCCTCCACCAAGCTCGTCTTCCTCCTCTTCTCTCCAGCTCCACGAGAAGTTCGACCTCCTAAAGCGGACACACCAAGAAGAGAAGAAGAAAGTGGAAGACAAGAAGAAGGAACTGGAGGAGGAGGTGAACAATTTCCAGAAGAAGAAGGCGGCAGCTCAGTTGCTACAGTCCCAGGCCCAGCAGTCTGGGGCCCAGCAAACCAAGAAAGACAAGGATAAGAAAAAGTAAGCAGGTGTCACCCCCATGCAGCGGGGCCCTCTAACAATTTATTCCTCTTGCATGTCTCTACTTTTCCCATTTACAGACTGGAAACTGGTCTATTACCAGAAAGATAAAAGCAAGAATTTTCTCTACAGTGCAGGGGAGACGACAAAGGTTTTTAAAGTATTTCTAAAGGGTACACAGACACTAATTTATAAAACTTGACCACACGATCAAGCAATCAGGACTGGAGTAACCTGTCATCTCCAGTAGTATCTTCTGCACCAACACTAGGACTCTTGAGAAGACAGTGCGTTTCTCTTCACTACTCTCTGGAGACAATCCTCATGGCTCTTGATAAAGGGCATCCTAAAATTACGATTGTTAGAATTATTTTTCTATTCTCCGTTGTAAGGCTTAAGAAGCCAGTCGTTGAAAGTCTTGTTCCCAAAATGAAAGATTTGGAAGAACTCCTAGTGGCCACTAGTTTTCCCTCTAAATTCCACAAGACGATGAATCGTTTTATTGTGAAAATGGGATCAAAATGCCCGTTAAGACACCTCCACCAATTCTCAAGACACACCTGTACCCGCACAAAATTTTTTTTAAATATGGCCTTGATTTAATGTGCCAAAGGGTCAGATTCTGCTTTTGAGTTGTCGCTTCCTATGACACCCCAATTGCAGCGGCCTGAATCCAGTGGGAGATGTGGGCCTGCCTTGAAATTCTGCTGTGATTTGAAGCTTTACATCAAATCACCTGAAAGACTAGAGGGTGCCATTTTATGACAATTACTATTGGTTTGACAGTAAGCACAGTGGTCAGTAAGATACCTTTGAAGAGACCTTAGTGCTAGCTGGGTGGTGAGCCCATGGATGCCACCCTGCTTTGTCTGTTTAAGGTGTGGTCCTCTGAGGGCGTGTTTCAGGATTCCTGCTCTTCATCCATTGCTAAGGTTCTAGGGCAAAGGCTGACAGCTAAGTAAACAAAATGTTGGTACTGGAGTAAGCAAAGAATTACATTCTTAGACATATATGGCAGATAGGATTGAGCCTGCACAGTAATCGAGTCCTATCCCGGGGGAGTGAGCTCCATAGTGGTGTTCACTTAATCTGAGTGAACATGCAGACTTGTCCCTGAGGAATCTTGTTACGTTTCCTGTGGTAGAAACCAAAATGCACTGCTACAGTGACGTGCAGAGAAAGTTTGAAATTCTGCTTTGCAGACCTTGACTTTCCAAGCTTTGAGCCAGCAGGAAATGTATGAAGAGAGCAGGGGAGCCAGCAGATTTTCTAAGCAATAGAAAGTTAGTATAGGTGAGCTGTGAGTTAAATGGGGTTGGTACAGACCCACGTGGTCAAAGGACTCCAGGGGCCGAAAATTTAGTTATGCTGGATTAATTCTGAGAGTAACAACTGCCTAGATTATAATCCAGTTCAAGAAAGCACTTTGTAGCTACACATGTTGGGAGGGCATCGGTCACTAATGGTGACGTTCCCCATGCAGATTCAGAGATTAGTGACTCTTCCGGGGAAGACAAAACGAAAGCCATCTGGCATCATTCCTTGTTGATCCAAACTAACCCAGGATAAAAACAGGTGGAGTGTGTGTGTGTGTGTGTGTGTGTGTGTGTGTGTGTGTGTGTGTACACATCTATAGGCATGAATGAAACAGGAAGCTGCTGACTCACGGTTTAGGAAACCCAAAGTCGAGTTTTTCTTACCCTGAAGCACTAAAGTGCGTAAAGGTACATGTTTCAGAACTTAAAATGTTTATAGAAGACCAGCAATGTTCCAAGGATATTTCATGTGTACTGGATGTGCCTTTAAGCAATAAAAATTCCGAGAGCTGACCAGTATTGTGCCTCCATTTTAAAAAGTACCTAATAACGGACTTCTCCGTGCAAGGAGGTTTTCCTTTTCCTATAGAACATTTTAGGTTATTTTCTTCCCAGTCTTGGGCCTTAGCAGTGTATAATTCATTTCACGTTTATGTGAAGTGTGTGCGAATTCTATTTTAGCCTTATTTATACATTCTCATTTATTATTAATGGAATTAGACTTTATTTGGTGAGCAGTAGTCACCAGATTTTGTGCCTGACAAGGGCGCGTACTTTTCGGTAACTTCTATGTTCTTAAGCTTTTCCACACTTTCCCATTTGAACAGTGAAAGCAGTTGCCAGTTGGAGGCCTGAAGTGTCAAAGTTTAAAAAAAAAAAAAATCACTTCCCTTGCTGCCAGTGGAGAGTTTTGGTTAGAGAGGACCACAGACAGACAGTAGTCAGGGTAACCAGAACAGTACTTGGAAAATAAATGCGAGGCTCTTTCCTCCTCGTGTAGCTGGAGGAGAGGCTGGAGTCATCACACTTGTCGCTTAGGAGCTGCTCCAGGGAGAGAGTTTAAAAAGAGATGCGTATTGATTCACCTGCCATGCTTCCACCTCAGAGCTTCACTTCGTTTTTCTAATAGTTTTAAATTCCGTTTTTTTCTATTCTAATGACACGCTCCGTCTTTAACGTAGGTAAGGCTTTGTACTTCTCCTTGACCTGTTAGTGGCATGAGAGCATATAACATTTCCTAAGATTGCAGACAAGGTAGAACTAACCCTGGCACTGCCATTAGCTGGACCCCCGCTTCCTGCCATCTCTGGCCACCAAGTCACTTTCCTTGTTTGCGGCTACACCTCAGTGGTGGGAGTGCCTGAGGGTAAGTTGTTTGGTAGTTGTTCAGTGTTCATCTTTTCTGAAAACTTTGCACAGTTGCCAGCCAGCAGTTTGTTGGTTAAGATGAATCCATTCCAAAAACAAAGTTTTAAAAATCTATCATTTTAAAACGGTACCTGGCATCTGATAACTATAGTTTACACAGTCATCCACTCATCTTTTCTTTTTTAAAATAATATTTTGATTCTTCCTAAGGAATGAAGTTGCATGTTTTGGACTTGCCTCAAATTAGACATGTGAATCTTGGACTTGGCATTGCTTTATACCTAGGAGGGGGAAGGCTCCGGGCATTGCTTTAGCTGTAACCGTATAATGATTGTCCTTTTTTTTTTTTTTTCCCTCCCAAGTAGCTTAATAGCATGTCCTCCATCCACTATATTCCAATCCCCAAGTTAATTGTTGAAAGACATTTATTGTATATTCAGTACCGATGTGATACCCAAATCTAATAGATGATGGTTTTGTGTCACCTGAGAAGATGAAAGTCAAACAGCAAATCCTTTCACGAGAACATGTAGTGGTTTCAAGAAGTCACTCATGAATTCTGAATTACCTGCAAATGGAAACTAACCACGTGTTCTTTAATTCAATATTAAAATTTTGCTTTTGCTTGTCGTGTAGAATAGCTTACTCAGATTTTTGGTTTTAATTTCTGTCAATTTCATAATCATTGCATGAGCATTCACCATCACCAAATGCTGGTGCTGGCACTCCTAATTTTCCTTCTTTTAATTTATTATTATTTCTAACTTTTTTGTTTTGTTTTTTAACTTGCAGTGCAAGCTTCACATAAAGCCTGGCAAGCCAAGGATGGTCCGCATTCACCTGCTTTTGCAGTAATATTGTATCTCTGCCATCTGTGTCCTTTTATTTTGTTTTATTTTTATTTTTTTCCCTTTCCCAGACACCATATAACTATTAACTCATTTTGCTGAATGTTGTTTGGTGGTGGAAAATGATAGAAAAAGGGGATAACAGCAAAAGCTATGTGCAGCCGGACTTTGTTTCTGGAAAGCAAATCATTTGCCTTTTATGCCTGTTCAGAGTGGCAGCAGGAAGCATGCCTGTTCTGTTGCTTTTATGTTGCTTTGGACCAAGGGAAGGAGGCTAAATTGCTACATGTACGTCTGACAGGAAAACTTTTCACCGCCTCAGCAGCTGACTATAAACCTGAATAGCCATGACAACTTGCTCTCCTTGATTATTCGTCTCCATGACGCAAAAGGCCCTGAACTCCCTCTGTCTCTTTTCCACACCTGCCCCGAACCAAGGTAGCTTTGTATGTAGGCAGAACGGTGGGTAAGCTTTACCTGACTTTTACCCTTGCGTGGAGTTTTTTTATTACTATAACAACATCATTTGGCCTGGGTTGTGGGTCTGTTCAGACTGACTGCCTCCTCTTATGGCTTTAAAAATGTGTCTGAACCCCTGTGTCTCGAATCCTGGCCAAGTGGGGTGGTAATAAGAAAATGATGAGTCTGTTCCCTTGTATCAGGGCAACCATGGCCCTCTCACAGATCATACGACCTTGTTTAGTAGAAGAATCTTCTACTAAGGATGACGGGCTTTCCACAACCTGCCTACTACTTACAAGATCCAGTCTTTTCATAAACACACCTAAATCTGCTCTCAGTAGGCTGAGAGAGGAGGGCCTAATGACTGACTCCAGGGTATCGAGTGCTTCTAATAACAGTTTTCAATAATTATGAGGAGAAATTTTCCAGCAATATTTAAAATAGAAAATCTGTTATAAACTGTATCATCTGCAGCACAAGTTTGAGGGGGCCTTGTCAACTTAAGGTAGAAGTGGGAAGGAACATAATATAAACCCACAAGTCAAGAAAGCAGAAATTCAGCTTCGCATCCAGTTTCCTTGCATAGTCTCTTTTTGATATTTGCAGTAAAGGCATGATGGAATAGAACAGCTGGTGTTTCAAATCCACTTGTCTTGAAGGAATTTCCTCACCTTTTCCTTCACGAAGACTAGCTCTACCTGCTCTTTGCGTTTAAGGCCCCAGTGCCCCATCGACAAGGGTTAGGACTTAACCATATGGCAGGACATAGACTACATGCCAAATTTGTATGGAAAAGGGCATATCTAATTTCTTTTCTGTACTTTTCCTTTTTGAGGCTTATCCTTTCATTTCCTTGATTTTTTTCCCCCTCTAATAACAAGATACTCGCAGCTTTCTCTCTAACTCCGTAGTCTCCTGTTTCTTACTTGAAAGAATAACATTTCTCACGAACCTGATACTTCACCTCTGCATTTTCCTTTTGGCCTTCACTAGTCATACATTAATC